ATTTCCTATTATATGATACTTTGTTGTTTTTTTGCAGATTGTATACTCAATAGGCATCAAGTGAGCGTATTTTCGGCACGCCACCATTGTTCTACGAGGCGAATCCAAATTCATTGCATCACTTTTGCACTGACTCATCAGTAACATAAATACCACTTTGACAGTTTTCAAAAACAAAAACAGGTGGCATACGCTTATTCTATAGGGAGCATCACAATGTAATATAGCGAATATAGGCATATCCCAGCTAACAATGCGATGTCGCATGAACATCTATATGACATCGCATGAATACTGCGACATTGAATCAAGTTGTCGCATAGACATCACGGGGACGTACTTTTGTCACACTCATTTGGATGTCGTATCAATATCGCACCGCGATGTCAGAGTAGTATCGCACCGCGATGTCTGAGGAATATCGCATCATGATGCCACAGAAATATCCCATTTTGATGTCCCTGATCTATGACTATGTAATGTCAATGGTATATCAAAAAGTGATGGGATATCAATGTAATGGTATTGATGTTTTATCTATATTCTGTATGGATAAAAAAAGTTTCTCAAGTATAAAAAATATATTTATTAATTAAAAACAAAAAAGCAAATTAACAACAAAAATGAGCTTTCAGGCCCAATACAAATGGTGAAACAAACAAAAAAGTAATTGCCTCTGCTATTCGCATGAAACAGAACATCTTCCTCATACCAGAACTTGTTCTGACTGGAAGATATGTTTGATAAATAAATAAATAAATAAATAAATAAAAAATGGTTTTCAACAAGTAAGAATAAAATAAATGAAAGTCTCTTTTCATAAGTATATACAGTGTGTACCGCTTTCCATGAATACACCCAAATTATCTCAGTTATTAATAATGCGATTTGCTTAAAATTTTGGTGATGATTGTATTTCAGGGAAATGAAGAATTTGGCATAATAATTTTCTTTGCTAAACTGATTTATTGGATTTATACCCAATGTTATATCTGTGTTAAAATATATACAGGGTGTCAATTTGAAAACTTCCCACCCTTAATATCTCCCTCCAAGTCGATAATATGGAAAAACGAAAAGACAGGTCGATTTTATTTTCGAGGGGGACATGGTTCTAAAATATTTTCAGCCCCGCGGCGTTGCCGCTTCTAACGAAAAGAAGCAACAACTTTGTTATTTCAAATGGAACACCCTGTATTTTATTGCATTTTTAGATTCTCCCTGAAAAGCTGATTTCATCAATGTATCTCACTTGGGGTCTAGCAGGAATGATTACAGAGATATAGGGTGTTCAAAATCGAGATTTTACAACTTTAGGATTTTTTTGAGTCGAAACTATTCATTATTGGTCAAAACGGCTTTTATGTCCCTATCTCAACTTTTGATTTACTATCTACTGACATTTATTTGAAACAAATACAGGGTGATCAAAAGTCTGAATCTTGAACCACCCTGTATTTGTTTCAAATAAATGTCAGTAGATAGTAAATCAAAAGTTGAGATAGGGACATAAAAGCCGTTTTGACCAATAATGAATAGTTTCGACTCAAAAAAATCCTAAAGTTGTAAAATCTCGATTTTGAACACCCTATATCTCTGTAATCATTCCTGCTAGACCCCAAGTGTGATACATTGATGAAATCAGCTTTTCAGTGAGAATCTAAAAATGCAATAAAATACAGGGTGTTCCATTTGAAATAACAAAGTTGTTGCTTCTATTCGTTAGAAGCGGCAACGCCGCGGGGCTGAAAATATTTTAGAACCATGTCCCCCTCGAAAATAAAATCGACCTGTCTTTTCGTTTTTCCATATTATCGACTTGGAGGGAGATATTGAGGGTGGGAAGTTTTCAAATTGACACCCTGTATTTTCAATGTCATTCTTTATCAATCGTCTCTTGTGGCGGTAGGAAGTACTAGAGAACAGTCTCTTTGGCATGACTCCACAAAAATGAATATGAATATAAATTCAAGAAATGGTATATTATACAAAAAGGTATACACAATACTTACTATAATGTGCTATAATTTGATCCAGTTTCAAACGATGAAATTAATCCTAATCTAATCACATTAAATCAAGATTATTAATTGCTGCAAAATTAGTTGCTTGCAGGGAAAACCCCTAGTTTATTCAGTCTCTTCTGTGGTTTAATAAAACATACTGTGATAAAACGCAAGGAGAACGTAGTAGTTGATTTGATTTGGCAGTTGACGCGTTGGCGTTGACACTTGACGGGTAAAAATTAAGTTATGAAACAAACAAGAGTCACCGATTGCACAGAATAACAGAACAGTCAGAATGTGTGAAGATGCAATGTAACATAGATGTGCAAATCACATTTACACGTCTGTGTGACATCATTGGGTGATGTTCAATTGAGGTCCCTAATAGAGGTCACATCAATATCTTTATATTTTGGTGATATCCCAGAGATATTCGTGTCCTCGCATTGTTAGCTGGGATCTACCTATATGTAGAAACCTATATATCTTCATTAATTTCATATCAAAGAATTGATGATGATATGTTGGTCTAAACATAGGGCTTTTTTTAATTGACTTGGCCGTTACTTGATGGAAATCCATCGAAAATGTTCTCAAATCACATGACATGTTCCGCTAACACAGTAGCTTCATCAGGTGAAATACTGTACAATATTAACTGTTATAGTTCTGTTAGTATTCATTGTACCAGTATTCCACCTGATGAAGATGAAGAAGAATGAATACTAACAGAACTAACAGTTATTATTGTACAGTATTTCACCTGATGAAGCTATATTGTGTTAGCGAAACATGTGTGGGCGATTTCAAAATAATTTAACATATAGTTTCTGATTCAAAAACTTCGGATACCTATAATTCATTATATTTTTCATTTCACTTTACACTAACAGTGCCGAGATAACAAATATTACATATTACTAAGAGTTGGTTAAGAGGTACCCCAGGGAAAAATGTGACACTGATTTAGGCATGTAAGACCTCTCTGTTGTTACCTACCTCCTCACATTTTTTTTAGAATATGTGCCCCAAAAGCTAGATAATGTTTGATACCTCGGTAGGTACACCAAATTGGCAAAGGTATAAATATTTATGTACAAATCATTTATACAACAATAATACAGATAATTAATAAAATGTCCCCATTAAAAATTATATGACAATAATAAAACTAAACATACAAATATATATCTTCCTAACTACATCATGTTGAAGTACGGATTTACAGTTTTTGTTTTTGACATTTGATAATAGGTGTACTTATATATATTAGAGCAAGGATGCCATGTGATATTTTGGAAACTCATAATGGCTATAAATACGACCTACCTATTCACGAAGAAATTTGGTCAAAACCGTTTCTAGAGAATACATGAGCAAGGGGGCTCTTGAAGAATTATTTCCAAGGATACAATAGTGATATTCTTTCAATCTGAACTAACTGAAATATATTTCACAAGAACTGAACTGAATCAGTCAACATGTGTTCTTTTGACAGACTTTAACATAGTAAAACAGGTAAAACATTATAAATATAGTATTTGAAGAAAGTAGATTCGTAATTCATATGGATTGAAAACTGCAACATTGAAAATACGCAATTTTTATGTCAAGATACAAGATAGGTATATACATTATAAGGAATTCTTTTCGGTGCCTCAGAAACAGTTTTGAGCCATCATATCATGAAATACCTTATTCGCGATAGAAAATAACACGTCGCCCCATCTGGCGGTAACAATTTGAGCGGTTTGTTTTGAATGATTGACCAAACAATCGAAAAACAAATGTGAACCAATAAAAACAAAGAAAACAGACCGCTTTGACAGCTTTCAAAAACTTCGATAAGTGGCGTACGCTTATTTTCTATAGCGAATAGTAACAGACCTGTCTATGAATGTTATTCCCCTTTATGTTAACACCAAACAATCCATCATTGAATGCAGAAGCTATTATATGATAATTAAATACGTACGAGTTATTAAATCCTATTAACAAAATCAAATGTTTTCTTTAAGTCACGATTATTCACACGTAAAATAAGGTTGTCGTCTCGCATTTTTGAGATAAGTAGGTATTGGCGATGCAGATTACACATGCATGTGAAAGCTTTTGTAAGAAATACACTTCCAAGTTTTATTACAATTTGACGTGATAGAGTCGTGATATTACCAAACATGACATATGACACTAGCGGCGCGCGATTGAGAATTTTTTTGTCACCATATACATTTTCCTAAATTTCCGCCGAAAGGTAAATGATCATCTCATTTTGTACAAGGCACTATATTATCAAATAGTCAAATTCAAAATACAATTTACATGTAGCTAAAGAACAATTTAGATTCTCACTGTCTTTGTTCCAATTTAAAATATTCCAGAATTATTTTTTGTGAAGTTCTCCAATGGTGATGAAAAGATATTTTGATGAATCGACACAAACGCAATAATTTTTTCAATATCCCAAGATTTTCCCCTTACAATTAATATGAAAACTGTTCTTTCCTGGAATGATTACAAACACTGTTTCCAATGAGCTGGCGAAAATACAAGGAGATTTGTGTAAATCAATTGACAACTAGTGATTACACCACATTTTCATCTTCAGCAACTGATCAGATTATCAGTACCAACAATTTGATCCTTGTCATCCAATTTTGGTACAGTATTCCCTGGTATTTCTGGAATATGACTGTCAGCCTGCACTGTTTCTTTTCGTTCAATTTCTTTGAAAAGTTCATCCTTCATGTTCGGCAAAAATTTACCTATCCTATCCCATGTTGCATTCCACATAAAATTTTTCCCATCGGGACCATCAAACACCTGCGCAGAGTCCATAACAAGCAGCATATTTTTAAGAGACTCAGGTATTGCTTCATACAACAAGTCACTCTTGTCTGCATGCATGTATTTGTCCATGAAATCCAAGATAACCAGCCACAGATTGAAGAAGCTGGGAAGAGATAAGAGTGGGTTGAGGTGGTGCAAAAATACCTTGGACAAAACAGTGGACGCCCTAATCCTAGTTTCTTCCATGGAGATGTTATCTTTGGGAGTTAGAGGTTGCAGCAAGTAACCGAGCAACGGAAACAGGACTCTCTGAAAACACTGTTCCCATTCCGGGCCGCTGAGCGTCTGCAGATCGTGAACTAGCAGCGCCCTCTGCAGGTATGTGATTGCGCTCATTCTCACTTGACGTCTTGTATCACAGCATAGCCTTGCGATGCCCTGCAATAGGGGACACCATCCTTGCGTCCATAAAGAAGATTCCTGCGATATCTCGCCACCTTCTTCTGCCCACCATTTGAAAATCTGCGCAGTCCTCGTGTGTAAAGTATGCATCAGATCCAGGAGTTGAATGGATATTTGATGGTAGCCGGTCGGTATTTCCTCATCGTCACTCTCTTCTTCCTCGTCTGGACTACTGGTGGGACTCTTCCTGTTTTTGTACGCCGCAGAACTTCTTTTTGGATTCTTCGATCGGGATCTTGATTCGTGGTGGAGCGATTTTTTAATACTGCCTTTTGAACCGTGTAAGTTTGCCTCCACAAATGTTCTGATACAATGGACACATATGTCGAAATTATAAGGGGTTATGTGAGCTACATCTCTTACTAGGAAAGCCAGACTTTCACAGCACTTCATCATGCTTCGAGGATCATGGATGCCCAAGTTCTTTTCTAGGCATAGACCGTACTGTGTGGGCGGACAAGTTCTTCCCATTACAGGCTGTATTTCCCCCTCATTTCCTACTAAAATCCATCCACCTGTATTGGGAGTGCCTACAGGTGAAATAGGGATAATAACTGGGCTTTGGGGTCTATGTTTTGGACTTTTTGTCACCTCAGAGTCTGAAGTGTATCCCCTATCTGTTACAGGACTTTCTTCATCAGAATTGACAGTGCTGTTCTCTTCAGATTTCACAACTAGTTCAGTTGTAGTAGGATCTTCAGCTAATGGCTTAGGCGGTTCAGCTCCTGCTCCTACACACTCGAGTAACGTGAAAATGATAGTCCAGTCCGTATTGGTGTGAATGTTTTGAGCTGAAGTCTTCAAGAGTTCATATAAACCGAACGAAATTTGTCGTGAAATTCTGCACAAAGTACTGCTCTTCAACATGAGAAGCATTCTTAATGATTGAAGAACTATGTGACTCATTTCTTCATTCCTCATCAATCGAATGGCAATTCTCAACAGTCCAATAACTGATCGTTCAAGAAGAAACTGATAGTCGAATACGGATGCATTCATTACCAAGGTGTATATGTGGTCTCTGACAGTTTGCCATATTGACATCACTCTGTCTCTATTCTGCATCACAATTTTCACTAAAAGCTCTAAAAAGAATACAGTAACATTCTGGTTATAATTGCTGCCAGAGTTTTCATGCATATCAGGACCTCTAGATAATTCTATCAATGTTTTAACAAGTTCAAACAAAGCTTCCTGGTGTAAAAACTTCGAGTCTATAATTAATTGATCAATGTTACATTCTCTAATACATTCTTTAGCCATTCCAATGAAATTTTGCTCCTCTGGAGTGGGCACTTTAGCAAGATTTTCAGCCGACACCATGTAGGAGTACAAAGAACTCAATAAGCCAGTGTCTTGTTTAGCAATGCTTGGTACTTCTTCATATACTAAAATGAGTTTTCCAGTGGGCTCAATAAAATCTTCTACTTCTATAAATGTTTTCGAAAGTAAGTTGTTGGTGTACAGAGCCAACATAAGATCTAATATATTTTTCCAACTCTCTCGAACACAGTTTCCATGTTGATGAACTAGAGAAAACACCAATTTCAAAGCTATCTGTGCTCTCAAATTGGCTCCAAACTGAATCACAATATTGTTCTGTTTTTGTTGGTTAGAAAAAACAGAAAATTTACACAAGGTAATCAGAAGCATATCTAAGTTTTCCGTCATGTTGAAGTTAGAAGCAATGAAAGCACATTGCTCAAAACCTTGCACAACCTTCTTATAGATCGCTTGATCTTCACTCTTCTCAAAAACGAATGATAAAGCAGCGATGACAGGTCCATACAATATCTGAAACAATTCAGAATCGACAGAGCCATTATCGTGATAATAATAACCTTCCTTAGTCTGCCCTTTCCTCAGGAGCAATTTCCAGAGGTAATTTTCTTTTATCAGTCCCGTCTGCTCGGCTGGCATCACAATTTCGTCGTTCTTTATAGTGTTATAAATTTCATCTAGCATCTCCTCATCAAAATCACCACCTCCATTAACACCCTTCAAATTTTTTTTGAAAGCTCTCGGTGACATGGGAACCGTTTGTTTTTTGGCATTCTCATTATGTTGGTCAACATTCAACATAATGATTGCGTAAGCCAGAGTGAAAGCTGAGTCCACGTCAGCAAAAGGTTCTCCGTTGCTTTTATGCCAGTGTTCAGCAAAATGTTCAAGAATCAGTGATATAGTAGGAGCTTCACCAGGTAACCTAAATGTTTCCAAAAAAGCTCTCAGAGCTTCATCAATCCTAACATTTGTGAAGTTGAATGTATGGACGAAAGCTTCCAGGATTTTGAGGTTGCTTCTGTTGCTTATATACTCGCCAATCTGCGCTTTGCTGAGAGCAGGATTTTCTCTCAAGAACATAACGACTTCCTGAATATCGAGCTCTTGTTTAAGAACGCCGTGCTCTTGAAGAAATTGTAGACCTTTTTTTGGTTTCTGGTTGAAATACTCGGTGCCTTGGGGCAGCCATTTTTTTATGCTCCTCACAGCCGCTAATTGTTCCTTGCTGGGTATATTTTCTGACATTTTGATCCTTGAAGATTTACCTATGAATTTATTTATACTCTCAACAGCACCAACGTCATTACCGCCTCTGCTCTCTAAAGATTTCATTCTATCTTTTCCCTCGTAACATCTTTTTTCAATGTCCTCTAAAACGATCAATAGGGCATCTAAAGATAACAAATGGGTGTTGTAAATTCCTGTGGTTCCGGAAAAAGAATGTTTGGCTAGTAATTTGGTAAGTTCCTCAAATAAATTAGTACAATACATGTCACAGTCGTAGTTCAAATACAATTCAGTGTGAAAACCAGATATTCTCCACAACTGAGATAAATTATCCAAAGCAATTTCTTTGTGTTCATAAGTTACTTTGGCAGACTCGCTCCTCAGAATATCAATCAATTTGTTCAAATAGCTTTCCAGTTGGTACTTAGTGTGGGATCTTAGTGATTCGAACATTAAGAAGGCAACTTGTAAATCCGCAGCAAATATCGATAACCTATCAGTACTCATCAACGAAAATAGATTCCTACACAAATCATCCTTGACTAAAGCCAATAAAGCATTATATTTCCCTATATTATCAGCACCAATTTCAAATGCAACTGTGAGCAAAGTTAAACCTAGATGAATCATCACTTCCGTATTTTGTTTTTCGTGTGGATTACAAAGACTTATTAGAAATCGGAACAGTTCTCTAACACAAGCTAGGCCGTAGGGATACAGTACGGTTTCTCGATTCAGCTGAGGAGTGAATCGTATCCCCCTTTGATTGACGAAGTCTTGAGTGGAATCAGTAGAGATGGAGACACACTGTCCGTCAGGAGAGGTATCTGGTTTTGACGTGTCAATTTCAATCACTGAAGCAGCAGTTTTATCACTAGGAAGATTTTCACTAGGGGTAGCAACAGGTGGAATTATGATATTTGACATTGAACTTGAGTCAGAATTTCTGTTATCCATACTGCCTGTTCCAGTATCTTCATTGCAAACAGGGTCGATGCTGGTAGATGAATGTTCACTTTGACTAGGTAAGTTGGGTAATGGTAAATCTCCTGTATCAATGTTCAATGTGCTTTGTAGCATAGATCCTTGCATATCGACTATATTGTTTGCTTGCACCTGATTCGTTGAGAGACTAGTTTCAAGGGATTTTGATAAAGTGGGACTTGGAACCAAGACACTTTCTGCATCAACTTTCTCTTTCTTCTTCTGACTCTGCTTGTTTTTCCTCTTGGTTTTTGTTTGATCTAGGGCACCAGGATGCATTTTGAATTGTTTCAACGCGGCTGCTCTCAAGTCGTCTGAGAACTGTGGCAAACGCATAAAGACGAGTTGCACCATGTCTCTCAGGTAATGTTCTGCAGTTTTTCTCAGCAACTCGGTCAGTCTTATTTCAAAGCATATCCTGAAGCACGAGAGCATGATTTCACATAAGCTTTCGTTTGTTAAATTCGTCCCTTCCGGCGATAATGTTAAAGTCCTAAGCACCTGAAGAATTCTCATGAGGACTACTCCATCTGATGACTGGTCTGTGCCTACGAATCGAGCATGGGTCACTGCGTCTGCTATGTTGTGTATGGCCTGTGATATGGTACTGTGCATTGGATCTGGAAGTAATTGAAATGTTATGAAAATATCAGAAAAATATATGCCTCCGCCGGATAATGCATGATGATCTAGTCATGCTTACAACCTCCAGAAGTTCAAAAATAATCCAACACCTACCCCCTCCTATCCCTATCTTCTCTAGGTACGCACGATGTTCCACGAACATTATAGGAATTTCCTTTCGTGTGCTCCAAGAGATAAAAAAAATCGCCATCTGGCGTTAGTTCTAAGGTAGGATTTTGTGGACGTCAAACACTGAGGACTATGGCTACAACGTTGAAAAGTGGTACTACACTCTGCTGACAGATGGCACTACCTGTCTACTTGAGTGGAAGATCCACCAATCCTATTCACTGAACTAGCTCTCATAACTAAGAGATCTAGGCTGAACAGAGTTGTCCCAATTGTCAGCAAGAGCGACAGAGTACTTTTTCGGCTGACCAGGCCTCATCAGCCGCTCTCGGTCTGTTGATAACTAGGACATCTCAACGCTTCGGGTATTTCACCCCCATTTCGGGGATTCGAATACTATCTCGCTCCTGCTGACAATTGGGGCAACTCTGTTCATCCTAGATCTCTTAGTTATGAGATCTAGTTCAATACTAACCTCCGAATAATGAATACTATGGAATAGTAAATGAACTACTTTGTTGTATGCCAAGATGTCCTTGTCTAGACTGTATCTCTGTCCTTCCCACCAATTCAACTCCTGAGTAAAGCATGGCTATGCTATGAATTGGAGGACAACAATAATATGCTCATCTCCTTCTATAATCGGTTCACTCTGTCGTAACATACAAAGGTTATTAGTAATCTAGTCTATCATCGAAGATACTAACGTTGAAACTTTTTTCTACTAATGCTATGAAAAGTAGCGCATTTCTCATAGCTGACTTAGTTTCAAAACCATGTATTGCTCATACTATGAGAAATATTTTTTCTCATGGCACTTTGCCAACACCACATTCATTTCCATGGAGAATCAACAAAAATCGACCAAAACTTGGCTGCTGTTCAGCTTTGAATAGTTGTCAAAACTGTCAGAAGAAGTTTTTTAAATTCTTCAGGGTAGTTCTCATTAGTGGTTTTGATAGAAATCGCATTTTCCATCAAATATTATTCCAACAATTCATAATAAATAATATGATGTATACAGTGTGTCCCACTTACCATGCTCACCATGGGTATCTTTTTAACGGTGAGAGATACGAGGTCGGTTAAATGACACCAAATGTGGAGTTTTATAAGGCCAACTATAATGTGAAAAAAATATTTTGATAAAATCTATTCGTTTTTGTTTTATACGCAAAAAACAGATTTTGATCATTTTCATGTCTCCTCCGTAACTTCTTTATTTATGAAAATATTCAAATACGAATTTCACATTCTCATGGCAGTTTTTCAAAGTGATTTCGATAAAAATATGAAATTTATACCAACTCTTCTAGAATTTGAGATATCAGCACCAACTTTAGTTTTTCAAATGTAGGATATAGCTCACTATGACTTAGTTACGAATAACTTTTTTTTCTCTTACAGATGATGTGTCGCAGTAATAGTTTTGTGTTGATACTAACGGAGTTATCGTCATTTATACAAAAACAAAAAATTATTTGGAAGCCGCCATCTTGAATTTATGAATTTTAACAGAACAATCATGATCTCCGACCTCAAAAACCCCCACTTACCAATTTTGAATGGAATCGGACCAAATCTTGTCCGCCATCTTGGAGCAGCCATTTTTTTTAACTTCAACAAAAATTCCATAATGTATTGTCACCGAAATCATGAACACCTGCCAAATTCCAAGTTGATCGGATTTAATTGGAACAGATACAGGGTGATCAAAATTCTGAATCTTGGACCATCCTTTATTTTTTCCATTTGAATGTCGGTAGATAGTTAATCAAAAGTTAATATAGGGACATGTGAGCCGTTTTGACCGATAATAAATAGTTTCGACACAAAAAAATCCTAAAGTTGAAAAATCTCGATTTTGAACACCCTATATCTCTGTAATAATTCCTGCTAGACCCCAAGTGTGATACATTGATGAAATCAGCTCTTCGAGAAGAATCTAAAAACGCAATAATATACAGGGTGTTCCATTTGAAATAACAAAGATGATGCTACTTTTTGGTAAAAGTGGCAACGCTGCTTCGCTGAAAATATTTTGAATCGTTAGATCACAAACGCTTATTAGAGTGACCAAATTTTCAGAACAATCCAATGTACCGTTTTCCGTATACGTCTAAGGTACCATCGACCGTGGGCCACCCTGTATATCATCTATACAATCTTCTGGACGGGAATACAATGAAATAATAACATTTTTTTTAATGAACTCTCCAAGAAGAAACCTGTCCTTGAAATGATATCCCACTCTTAAAACTAGTTTTATCTGAATATCTCTTCTGTTTGATGAATTTTGATGAAATTTTGTGACAGGAGAAAATACCACATGGTAGAAATTTGAAGAAATAAGACAATCAAGAATTAAGGAGTATAAACATCTACTGAAAATTGAGAATTATAAAATATGAACTTTTTCAACAAAAATTCACACCTTAATTCCTATTTTAAAAATGCTCTTCAATCATTCAGTTCTGAGCAAGGTTCTGAGTATCTTATTATATTTCTAAAAACACTGAGATTCATTTGATGATTTTTTTATTGTTTGTTAACTATCATAAAATCATCATGTATATCTTTCCCAATTCTTCATTGCTCATTCAATTCTTAGTTTAGTTGAGTTTATAAATTCATCATCAGGGACATATATCAAATAGAGTTGTGCTGTGGTGAACATGACACAAACATAGGGTCCTACACTCAGTCCTACATTATGAAATTTGAAACAGAAAAAAATCCTATCACAGATCAAACAGATTCACCATCTTCAATAAGTAAAACAGAGTACCTATAACTTGACCTATACCTACATGTATGTGCAGATATCTTCATTCAAATGATGAGATTTTTGAGATTGATATGTTGTATGTGTAATCAGACTGTCTTAGGTATTTTCTTGAAATTAAATGTGGTAGATACAAAAACTACAGAAAGACTCATGGCCTCTTAGAGTAGAGCTCCAGAATTTTTTCATGAATTGCTAATTAGTACCTGAATACAAATTTACCTACCAACCACTAACCATTCATTTATAGGTATTACATATCTGGCATTTTAATTGTGTATGATCTGAGCTCATATCTGAGGTAGCTGGGATCTGAGGTATGAGATGTAAATTCACAAGAATGAATGATAGCTAGTATGATATCCTTACCTATAATTCCATAGGATAGAAATTTGTTGACTGCACATAGTGCAAGACTAGTAACAGGTCCAGTGGTTTCCTCTGATCTTATAACATTTAGAAATGGTAACAAGAAGGTATTTGGTTCCACAAAACGTAGGTCATCGACATTATTGAGAACTTCACGTAATTCTTGAAAGGTTTTCAACAAAGCATCAATATCATCATCTTGATAGGAATGAGAAGACCATCTTGTTCCTCTTTTCATAGCAGTCATCAAGGTGGATATTTCTCCCTTCACAACAAAAATTCCATTCCCAGGAAGAGCCATAGTTCTGATTTTTTCTAGTAATTGGTAAATACGATTTCATCATTTCAAACAACAAATTTTGAAAACAAAATATGTTCAATTCTCAACGTCATCTTATTATTGACTTTGGCAGAAATATTGAAGAAATTGAAAATTGAAATTGTCACAATGTCAGCTGACGAGTTGACGTGATGACGTCTGACGATCCCTGAGATCGAATAGTCAAAATTCAAAACAGTCCCCTGGCAGAGCCGGATGCTGGAGCTTCGTGTACTTGGCCTTGGAAGAGACGAGACCAAAATACAGAAAAAAGAAGAAGACTGATAAAAATGGGTTATGTTTTTGTTTATACATTTTCAAAATTTGAATTTGATATACAAAAAACTCAAAGAAGATACCGGATAATGAGTAGATTATTACTTATTATTGTGTAGAATTTATCATGTAATGTGCTTTTGCTTTAAAACTCTTCAGTTTGTGTTACTTTCTTATTTTCAGGTTTGAATATGGGTGGATACAAGAGAAATGAAAAATTGTCCCAATTTGATTTTATGATAGCTGGTGGTGGCTCCGGTATGATAACTAGAGCATTATGCCAACCCCTCGATGTTTTAAAAATCCGATTTCAACTCCAAGTTGAACCGATTTCAAGGAAATCAATTTCAAAATATCAATCAATTCCACAAGCTGTTAATGTTGTCCTTCATGAAGAAGGTCTAAAGGCATTTTGGAAAGGCCACATTCCTGCACAGTGGTTGTCTATTATCTATGGGACTGTCCAATTTTGGGCATTTGAAACATTGTCAAAGAAAGTCAACAAATGGAATTTTAGTTCAAATATTTCTCCTGTTGTTAATTTCTCATGTGGTGCCATTTCAGGTAAATTGTACTATCTATACTTATATATCATTATAGTGTTTCATATATTGTGTATGACCCCTTATGACTGGATAACTTCCAGTTCAACATACAGCTCTACATACAGCTTGGGGAAAAACTTGCAAAAATCAGATAGTCTCTGTGGACATATACTTTTTCATTATAGAGAAGGAACACCTCATTATGTGTTATCAGAATAACATATCTCAACATTGTCTTGGGTAGGCTTGAGCCCCAAATGCTCCCTTGCCTGGGTGCATCAGTGTATTGAACTATATTTTTTTTATGATAGGTACCTCCTATCTATATTTGAAAAAATCATGGACAAATGGCATTAGTAAGATTTGATATTGCATTTTTTGTTGAAATCTTGGTTGATGTATAATGACAATGTAAGTTGCTTTTGGAGCATTCACAATAATTGTTGCCAAAAATCTAAATACAGGCTGATTTTAAAATGAGTGCATATATTCAAGACATATATATGTGAGAGTCTAACAAAAATTACTAAAATATTAGATTTTTCCTAAGTCTTCACATTAACGAGAAATTTCATTTTGAAAATTGAACATAAAATGCTTCGAAATTCGAGTACGCCACTGGGAAGCAAGTGAAATCTGCGGAATCCCAGGGATTCTCCAATTCGTCATTCACTAAAGTCAAAACAAGACAGTGATGCCAGATTGTTTCAGAGACGAATATCCTGATAAAAATTTGTCACAGAATGAATATGAATTGAAATAGGTTATGGAAACTAATAGAGGTGAATGTAATATGTACAGAAGCCTTATTTTTTAAAGTTCACTGAGAGAACTGTGGGGTGATTATCTCCATGGATCACGAGAGACGGATAGAAACATGAGGGGAATGATAGAACGTCCCCCTTCCTTCCACAAAGTTGAAAATCGACTCACCTAATAGATTTTCCCATACCCGCTCGAACAGCAAAACTCCCGAGAGCAAACAAATACTAATATCGAGTCCATTCCAGACTAATATCGTCCTGTGTTCTTGTTGGTTCATATTCGCACTTAAACCATCGAAAACGACACGACGACGACATATCCTTCCTGGCAATCTCACATTGAAAATCACGACCATATCACGATTATCACGACACAACATCCAATTATTTTATTTTTTATTTTAGGTTCATTCGGGTTCGAACAATTACTGTTCTAGAACTGTCAGGAGTTTGCGCAGTAGAATCGGTCGCGTTCGGGTTTTGTGGAACTGTTCTAGGACTGACTTTTTGCGCGTTCGGGTTTTTCCAGAATCGTCCTGGGACGGTCCTAGTACTATCCGAAACCAGTAACGTTTACAATTATTTTACAAACACAAAAAAACTATTATCATATGATCTGTCAACATCATTTCTCAGAACAGTAGTATCTGTGACCATAGATTTCCTCTTTGCTGTGACCTTTGACAGTTCTACCTAGGATTGTTCGCGTTCAGAGAATAAACAATCCAAAACCGTCAGAAGCATGCACAAGTCCACAGAACCCGAAAATCATACAGTTCTGTGAAACTGCGCATGCTTCTGACAGTTTCGGACGCAAGAATTCAGATGACCATGAATTACTAATAGGCGATTTCTACGGACCAATCAGAAACAGCAAAGTAGCGCCTGCGTGGTTGCGATTCATCATGATTGGACACAGCTGATTGGATTTGTGAGATTAGTGTATAGTGACTAATAGTGAGGAAGTATCATTTCATTGAATTAAACTAATAGATCTTTTTTCCAAATTAGTTTTTTATGAAAATGTTAGTTTCATTTAAAGATATGATCCTTCCTCACTTCACTAATACATTAATCTCAATCACCTGTGCCCAATCAGGATGAATCGCAACCACGCAGGCACTCCTTTGCTGTTTCTGATTGGTCCGTAAAAGTCGCCTATTAGTAATTCATGATCATCTGAATTCTTGCTGGTAGCACACCATAAGAACAATCAAAACAAAGATCCTTTCTTGACAGTTTGTTGTTCTGAGAATGTATGTTATTTTGGAAAACGTCAAAACGTGATACTAGTAAATGTAAACAGTGTGGTCCTTGTCATTACTTTTGTAATAGATCTATTACTATTCCACGGAGATTGTTACAATATTACGATTTGTCATGAATCTATTACTATTGGGTGTTAGCACCAAAATATGATGTTTTGTTACTGTTAGCACCAAAATATGATGTTTTGTTACTAAAAAATCTATTTCTGTCTAATTTGTGCGATATGGTTTTACAAGAATGACATTCAGAATGTCAAATGTCAGATTTTAAGGATCTATTACCTTTTGATACAAATCTGTTACCATTTTCCAAGAAAATCTATTACGAAAAAATCAGACCCAGGAACAACACTGAATGTAAAGTTTTGTTTCTGACAATTTGCTTGGAATGTGACGATGCATTTCTCAAACATTGAGCTGAATGATATGGTTCTCATGTCGGGTCGTTATTGTGCGGGGCCCATGAGACTCCTCGAAGACCACGAAATTGTAGCGATGCAAGGACGTGGAAGGAAGGGTCTAAAGGATTTTTCAGTAAAATAACTTCCAACCGTGAGGTGTTAAGTTATACGCTATTCAAGCTTATGTGTAGAAATCTGGGGTGAGTCCATTTTGAAGTTTTTGTATTATCTTTCTGAAATTCAAGACCAGGGTTAACTTCTTCCCCATGTACATTTTCTCGATTATACATTTTATTTAATATCTCCTAATTTTCATGTAGAGTGGCAACGTCGCTTCGTTCATCACGGTCGACTGCGGATCGCAAACGATAGTTGTGACAGAAGTAGAAATCTGGGCGGAAAAAGGGTATTTTGCCCCAAATCTATTTTGATCCTAATAATATTTTTAATGGTGCTATTCGGTAGTATACCTCAAGCTTTCTTAGTGTTTAAAATATATGCACTTATTTTAAAATCAGCCTGTATAAATGCAGTCATCCTCTTTCCATCATATATCATATGATTTCATACAATCATGTAATTTATCAAAATTATAGCCAATATATACAGGGTGTCCGCTAAAAGGAGGTCAATCCATTAACCATATATTCCTTGAACAAAAATAATATGAGTTTCTAAATACCATTTTTCATTTTAGCCCTTCTTATTCGATATACAGGGTGTCAAAGTTGAAAATTAAAAACTGTTTTTTTCTAATTACTCGCGTAATTAATAAGATATTAATCTCAAAATAGGTACATTACTTCAGCACAAAGAGTTACGTCGTGTGAGGAAAACAAAACAGGAAATAACTGTCAAATATTCAAAATACTGGGGGTCAAGTACACACTTATCCCTATACTTTTTTTGTACGTGCTCTAATGACTTCCTATCTATTTTTCTTCAAGTGTTCAATCATTTTTGAGTATTTTTTGATTTGTGTAAAATTCCGATAAAATTATTTGTTTTTAAGATAATTCGAAAAGTACTGGTTATTGTTTGATGCCTTGCGGCTTACGGTAATCTCATAATGTTCACATACTCCTATTTATTTCGTCGAAATTGGAAGAGGGCGTATCTTATTACGTACGGAAAGGTGAATATGGAAATACCGGGTGCTCAGAGCGAATGTATTAAAATAATTTTTACACTTTTTAATTTTTTTTTTTTTTGTAAAAATTATTTTAGTACATTTGCTCCGAGCACCCGGTACTTCCATATTTACCTTTTCGTACGTAAAAAGATACGCCCTCTTTCAATTTCGACGAAATAAATAGGAGTATGTGAACATTATGAGATTACCTAAGCCGCATAGGCATCAAACAATAACCAGTACTTTTCGAATTATCTTAAAAACAAATGATTCAATCGAAATTTTACAGGAAACAAAAAATACTCAAAAATGATTGAACACTTGAAGGAAAATAGATAGGAAGTCATTAGCGCACGTACAAACAAAATATGGGGGTAAGTGTGAACTTGACCCCCAGTATCTTGAATATTTGACAGTTATTTTCTGTTTTGTTTTCCTCACACGATATAAATCTTTGTGCTGAAGTAATGTACCAATTTTGAGATTAATATCTTATCAAATACGCGAAGAAATTAGAAAAAAACAGTTTTTAATTTCCAACTTTGACACCCTGTATACCGAATATGAAGGGCTAAAATGAAAAATGATATTTAGAAACTCATATTGTTTTTGTTCAAGGAATATGTGGTTAATGGATTGACCTCCTTTTAGCGGACACCCTGTATAATAACATCATCATCATTCACCTATAGCATCTCTGGATACTAAAAGAGGCATTTATTTTAATGTTATAATGCAAACACCCAGTATATTCTGAAATCGTCAAACAAGCAAACTGATGTCTATAAAAAAATTCAATGATGAATTGACATCTTCATATTGCAAATTTTAATAATCAGAGCAGGCTGTCACCATGACCAAAATTTATGGTCAGAAAAATGTTGATAATGACTAAATATTGTTAGGAATAGTATTAGTCAATCTTCATTTAATCATATTGAAAGGTCCATACTAACAATGAAAATCAGGGAAAACTTCAGTGACTTTATTACATTCAAAAGATCACATAGGAGTACATTCAATAACCATTATGACTTCTACATATACAAGATATTGATCTAAAGATCTAAATGACAATAATATATGATATGAAATTCTTAATTCAACACTCCCTCTGAATTTCTCTATACAGGGTGAGTCAAAACTAACCAGCCATAACCTAATGGCGGATATAGAGGAAGTCAAGGTGAGTTGATATATGTATATGTGAAAAAATATATTTCAACAAGGGCGAAATATTCATGGATGCACAAGCCGAAGTAGTGATAATCATCAATTAAGTGTGGTGCAACAAAATACAAGGTGTGCTATAAGAAAAAGTATAACTTTGATGCGCCACGCATTTTTGAGTAACCCTGTATAACGCAAAATATTTCTGAAATGTACTGCTCATGAGACTAGACCATCTCAAGAATTTTTGTTCATCTATCTCAAACAGCAAAGCTGTTATATCACTTTGCCACACTGTTGGTCCACCCTGTATGTCTACATGAGCCTTCCATCTCTGAATTGTGAATTCTTCGAGCTGTTGAAGTCCTGCTACAAAAAACTGGCCCACCCTGTATATTTTATATTTCAATTATTACATATTCAGCTAACAAAAAATAATTCAAACGTCAGATTAAGGTAATTCCTCTACATAATTGTCAGATTATGGGTCGATACGACCAGGATATTGAGATGAAGCGTCTGCATAATTACCTGACGCGCTCCAGTATTTCAAGGTCACGATTTTTTTTTTTTTTTTCATTTTCGGGAATTGATTATCACTTTTGGTCGCGTCCAAATCGTCAGTCTTTTGAATAGGGGCTACTTGAGGGTTTTCTCAATATCTAACGAGCTCGAATACATTTTTTTTGCCTATTCTCTATATCCCTTCCTACGGCCACCCCCACCATGCAAACCGGCACATTATTATTTTTCGGTTATCAGAAACACTAGGGGCGCATACACTATTGATATCTGATGCGCTCGAGTATTTCTATGTGACTGTTTTTTTTACATTGTTGAACACCTGTACACGTTTCCCCCACCAGTGAAAGGTCATATATCATATAAACTCTTTTTCATTTTCGCATCTAATCTTCACAATCTGATACGTCCCCATGACGCTCCAGTGAATCCGTATTTAGCCTCTTTGCCTCCCCTACTATAGGAAATGACGAGGGCAAAGACAGTCACTAAATGTGAAACTTGCAAGGCAATCTTTACCAAGACCCAAGGTTCTTTACAGTGTAATGGAGGATGGTTTTTTTTATGTTCTGGTTCCCACGAAAAGGGATAGGTATCCTGTTATGTTCAGAGAACATCGTGAGAACCAAGGGAAATAAGGTAGGAATATGGAGGTTATATGCCTCGGGGAACACCATAGTAAATGCACAAAATTGACTAATGAAGAATATGTCATATACACAAGTAAAAAGCCCAATGCTAAATGGACTTGCAATAATTGTCTTCAAGATAATTCCTCAGAAAGTGAAGAATCGGAGGGTAAGGATATATCGGAGGGTGAGGATATATCAGAGAGTGATGCTCAGTCAAAAAAAGAATAGTTCCAACCAACAGAAAGTCATTCTTGAAAATCAGAAACGAAGTAAATGGGTCTATGTTACAAGGAAATCTTGAAACTAATGCAAAAATTGGTGGAATCGATGAATTTTCAAAGTGATGACATACAGAAGAGCTTGAAGGAAGTAGTTTATTTTGAAGGGACATACACATACTAAGTTCTTGTAATGTTCTCAGCAAGTTTACTCAGCGCCCTGGAAGCTAAGTAACATGCATCCATATAGAGAATTGTAAATATCTCCGAAACGATCACATCCAGCGTTGTTGAGGAAGTGTACCTTTTTTACTTGGGAAAGGTGCGGGAATAACATTTTTTCATAAAAAGTACCAAAAGTTTACTGTCAGAAATGTTAGGGCAATTTGAAATAACTAATGACAGCGTACGCAGCGCCCTGTAGATTTTCCACATCAAATAAACCTTGGGTACCAAATTTCGTGCAGATAACTTATTTTCTACAAGTTATTTCAAAGAAGCGAACAAAAAAAAATCAATTTCAGCACCCTGTATCTCCGAAACAAAGCATTTCCGAACACAAGTTAATGTAGACTTTGTTTTCTTAAAATTGTCTCAGGAATACGTCACTCGAATATTTCAACGTACTTATGTTACACCCTGTATATACAGGGTGATACTAAATTCGATGTAAATAATTCTAGGACGTATTGTTGGGACCAAAATAAGACTTTTTCTTCTTATGAACATGTGTCCTAAAATGCATCATCTCCGAGCTACAGCCACTGTAAGGCTAAAGAAAAGAATACCTGAAATTATGATCATAATAACGCCTCTGAAATAGCAGTCTCAAATGCGTTCCGAAATGCGACATACGATCACCTGCGTATGCAAGCGTTTAACCCGTTGCGTTCGAAAATGATGCCGTGACTTTTTCTATCGTTGATCACGATTTTCTGGCAAACGGTTAGTAGTATGAATGCAAGAGACCGAATTCTCACATTTTTTATGGCCCACTAGATCATTTTATTCAAAGTCAGAGTTTCTATCTTTGAACATAAAATTTGGGCCAATAAAAGCGTGGACCCCACTCCAACTTCCCCAAAACTGGGGTTACATAATTTGTGGAGCAAGAAGAAAATGAAATGTCGTAAAAGACAAGGGCATGCCAATTTTCAGAAGATTTGGATTGCTATTTTAGTCACAATTTTAGATAATCGGAGGGGGTGTATTTTAGGACACATCTTTATATGAAGAAAAAGTTTAATTTTGATCCCAACAATATGTCCTTGAAATATTTACATCGAATTTTGAATCACCCTCTGTATACACTGTTGTTGGCTTTTGCTGTTCTATAGTTACGAAAAATTACAGAGACTGCACACGAAAAATAAGCCAAACACACCGTCTCCGAGAAAGAACTGCAAGTCCTTTCATCTTCCATTCGACTTCGCGGTTACGTAAAAATTACTTTACCTACTACCAATACGTAATGTGAAACATTACGACACTGATTTTAGTATCGTAATGAGATACTTTACCGCACTAGTGTTTTCGTCTGTTCTTTCTATTTCTTCCAGAAACATATTGCCCTTCTTCTTCAGCTAGCACGCTATGCTACCATGAAAGGTCCGTACTAACAATGATATAATCAGGGATAACTTTGGTGACTCAATTAAACTCAATACAATACATGCAATAATCATCAAATCTCGATGACTTCAACATATACCTACAAGGTATTAATGTAAATATTCGCGGGAATCAATGTTACCAGGTGGCGCTCGGTTTTCATCGTTCCATATCAAAGCCACGTCAAAACTGGGGAAAAACAAACTCAATCCTCACTCAATCCCATTAGTGCCACTAGCTTGTGTACTGTGTACTGATAATAGTGATAAGTTTTTAAATTTCTTGACATTCATTGTCAATATTCGATTGAAAACGCTAATAATGCCTGTTGTAGATGTTCTTTTGGCAGATGTTTTGCTCTATTTATATGGAAAAAGCAGACCAGTAGTGGAAGGAGAACCAGTTCTCCGTGCGAATCATGTGATTTTGTGTGAGGCAGAAGACTTCAACAAAAGGCACATTTTTGCACTTTGTCTGCAAACTTCGGCGATGAAATCTTCCCCACATGAAGTAAAATTGAAGTTGGGGTCCAGAGGAACTCCTGTAGAACAATAGATTTGTATTGGTTCATGCAAAGCAGGACAATCTGGGTTTTGTAAACATGTTGTAACTTTTCTTTTATATGTCAATTGATTTGCTCGTCATAATTAGTTTGAATTGTTTGAACTATCTCCAATTCTTCACCCGTTCACTGTTCACTAAACTGATAAAAATGTAATAATGTAAAAAAATTAACCAACTCAATCATCAACACTACCAACAGTGCCAACACTTTATGTCATTGACAAGTTAGACTACAGCTACAGCAAGCTGAATGCAACGTAGTCTATGCACTTTATCCATAGACAACAGTTTATTTTCCCCCAGTTTGAAGTTCGTATGATGTAACCTAGATGTCGCCCACTTCGTGAATCTCGCGAATATGATAGGTTTTACATGAAGTGACATGTAGAATATCACAGGATCACCAGGTTCTAAATAAGTAGATTCTTTTCGGTCCTCGGGCCTCATTAATGAGGTTCTCTTTGTTTTGGGGAAAGAAAGGGGTCTTGTGCCAAATCTCATTTTGATAGCTTAATTTTTTTTCAATGGTGCCATTCGAAGTGTAATACTTGAGTAATATTAGTCGTTAATAAAGTAGAGTATACTACTCGCAATAACAGCTATTTTTCCTGGCTCGTGGTATAATAGACTATAGTTGACGGCTGAAAACAAAAATGTCATACTTCCCTGATATATTCCAGGTGTATCTGCCACTGTAGCGTCATTCCCATTCGACGTGATCCGAACTAGACTGGTAGCCCAAAGCGAGCAACAAAAAGTGTACAAAGGCATCGTGGACTCGGCCCGGGAAATCCTGAGGAAAGAGGGCACTCGGGTGCTTTTCCGCGGCCTCTGGCCCACCATGGTGCAAGTGGGGCCCCATGCGGGGGCCCAGTTCATGTGCTACAAGCTATTCGAAGAGCTGTACGCGCGCTTAGCGAAGTCTGATGGTACGACTCTTTCCAGCAGCTTGATTGCAGGTAGTTTGGCCGGGTTTTTCGCGAAAACTTTAATTTATCCATTGGATTTGGCTAAAAAACGAATGCAAATACAAGGGTTCGAGGAAGGTAGGAAGAGTTTTGGGAAGTCGTTCAAGTGCAGTGGGCTGAATGATTGTTTGGTGAAAATTTATAGGTTCGAAGGGGTTCTTGGGTACTACAAGGGACTGTCGCCGAGCTTGATCAAAGCTGTGGTGACCTCTGCTTTACATTTCAGTAGTTATGAAATGATTTGTAAGTTTTTAGTATTTTCTAAAGGATGATATATGTATGATAATTTGAACTCAAAAAGTCGGATACATGGTGTTTCACGACGAGAGGGTGAAACTTGGTCTGAGTGAGAGTAGAGGACATCTAGGCGATTCTTATAATAACCTTCTAGAGGGCTAAATGGTATGCGTTGGGATATACAGGGTGTTTCCTAAATTGGAGCGATAAATGAATAGGAGACGAGAAAACAAGGCGAAATTAAATTCTTGTTGAACAAATATTTTGATATTGAAGTACACAGTTTGATTGAAACTTCTTTGTAACTCATTCAAAATCACTTTATAGGTGCTATTGACAGATTAAACTATATCAAACTTTGTCAGAGAGAAAGACAATATAAAATATTATGAATTATATCAAGATCTGAACTAAAATTGAAAAAAACAATTCAAGTGTCAATGCAATATTGATCAGGGTTTATCATCCAAACCCAAGCGTTTGCGAGGTTAGACGTATAAAAAACTCATGCAATGTTGCCGGACATTCCATAAAGGATATAATAAAAATATTTGGTATGATGAGACGGTTTTTTCTTTCAATAAATGTGTTCTTCTTTCTTTATTAGCCTTATATTTATTGTTTCAATGTCTCATACAGCACTCGACTTTATTTATTGTGATTCATCAATGAGCCAAGATATCTTATATTATATTTTTTCAACAGTTTAATTGAACCAGCTCAATTTTGCTGATATGATTTACTCAAAATGCTCCGGAAAATGCACATTTCACGTATTAGTAATACCAAAAATAAGGAACAACTAGGAAATATATATATCAGTTTAAATTACATTTTCAACACCCTGTTTATCTCTTACTAACAGTTCTCAAAATATGTCATGAGGAATAGCCAATCTGCATAAAACTGAAATATAGTTATCACAGATATTGCAAGAAGGCTGTGGAAAGACTTGGAATATCTGATATTTCAAAGCATTATTTACATTGCAATTTTCACCAATATGAATCACACTGTCTGAAAACTTCAATTTGTGATAAAAGTTGATTATCTAGAAATGTGATTTCAATTCGACATTTCTTATTAGTTAATGCTATATGATCTGATCCGTAAATAGTGTTTTTCAAAGTTCTCGGATATTGCAGTGCAATTTTTTGTTATTATTGCACCAAATTATAATACTGTTCATTTTATTTAACAGGGTTATGTACTAGAATTTGATCACTATTCTATTTCAAAAGATATATATAGATATTTTTTCAGAAAATTGAAGGAAACTATAGATGTACCTAATTTAATTAGTGATCATGGAAATGTTGTACAAGTTGTTTAAAAAAAACAGGACAAAACTAGGTTCAATGTTTCTTAATACAAAAGAGTATTTGTGGAGCTTATCAAAACTTAAACAAACTACTATGCATTATATTTTGTTTCACTATGACAGTTTTCGAAATATTCAGATTCTTAAAGTATTGATCCAATTTCCATATATTCATAATAGGAATTCCATTAAATTAGTTCTTTTCCAATGAAATTCTCCATTTCTGGTAAAACTAATGGAGAAATATCATTGTCAAATGAAAATTGCTAATTACCCATACTGTATTTGACATATGCTACCAAGATACCTTTTGCCCCGGATTTTCTCAACAGCCTGTATTGAATTTCGATGATGCTAGCTCAGGAATAATCATCAGCTAGTTTTGGTCAATATCTAGCAAATAACCCTGTACATTCAAGAATGTTGATTTTTGTTCTATTTTTATTGATTTCTCAAATGTACTCACATTATAAATGTATTTTTGTTATCTAATTCTATATACGTATTACCAAAGAAATTTTACCTGATTTATAATTATTGAATAAAATTTTGTTAACAGAATCATATCTCCATTCATTCAAAAGTGTTGAATAGAAAGTAGAAAATCTCCAAGTTGACAACACAACACTTCACAAAAACATTTTTATCTTTCACCCAGAGATAATTTAGATTGCATTTCTTTTCGGACTACCCTCGTATTACTAAAATATTGGGAACATTTGCATCACATTACTTTTTTTAAATATTAGCAAGAAGTTTAGAACCAAAATGTCCTTGACATTCACTGAAATATGGGAGTTCCCGTTAGTTCCAGAACGTTTGTGCCAAACTGCGTTTTTCAACTTTTTTAATAAGCGATCCACTAAATGAAGAGTCGGCACGAACAACGTTGTAACTTACATTTCATCAACTTTTCAGGAAGGACAAAAAACTGTATATCTTCTATATGCACTTCAATATGGAAAAACGTTGTGCGTTCGTGACAGTTATAACCTTCTTTCATGTGAAATACTTCACATACACCAAAAGTTTTAACGTTGATATCATCCTCCAGTTGTTGTTCTGGCCTACACATCTGTCTGACCATATAATCAGCTGTTTTCTTTCGCCTGCTTGTAATGGTGGGAAATGTTCTTTCACGTACCTCAGTAAACATGATGAAATTTCTGTAGCTCCTCGTTTTGCTACTGTTTCGTTCCATAGCATCATATACGCATTGTTAGACGCCGCATCATGTATATCCAATGACAACTGGCGTTGGTAAAATACACAGGAGTGATGTGAAGTAGGACAGAATGAGGCCTGTTGCAAGTCGATGAACAGAACAAAAACACACAGGTATTGCTTTCTGCCAGCTGTTTATCTTCTCTTATTTGTGCATAACCTGCTTTTGCACGCATTTGATGAATCTCCATAACTTGCGATATATCCTGTATCTCTTTCTCAGTATTGGCAGCACACACTTTAATATAATGTTTATCGCGAAAAGTGCATCTTGGATATTTCTCACAAAAGAGCTTCAACATTTTGTTCAAGTTAAGATCTTCAGACAAGAACTCAGTCTGAGTTTTGGCTCGTGAATAGTGGCTTTCCTGTTTAGGAAAAGATGAAATATTCTCTCTGATAAGCTGTTTGGCATTTTCTGGAACAGCATGTGGCCGATTTGTATGAAGTCCTCGTAAATCTTTAATATCCATCCCATTCTTCAGTTTCTCTACCAACATCTGTATTCTTCGAGAGGTAACTCTCAGGGTATCGGTGACAGTTTTCTGCCAGACTCGTACCTTATCATTATCAACAGGAAGAAAATGAAAAACTGTACACTTGTGGCGTGGATTTGGTTGGTCTTTTATTTTTGGCCGTAAGGGTTCACGCAGCTCCAAACATTGACAGGCAAGAAATTGAGATTGCTCATTGTAGGTAAGACTACTGAATTTTAACTTTGGAGCAAAACATCCCCTTTTACACCGACACACAACATTCTGCAAAGAAAGAGGATATGTTCAAAATAATAATACCTATTTATCTTTTCTACAGGTAAAATGAGAAATGAACTGATTAGTAGTTTGCATGGTTATACTAGATAAAATATACGAATCTTGCGAAAACATGTCATTTAAATTCGGGCGCGAAAATAAAACAAGTTACAACGTTTTTCAACTCACCTCTTCTGGTGGGGCCACTGCTGGTATAACCTTCTTCCTTCTACTTACATACTCTTCTCCTTTATCTCTAGCTACTTTTGACTTTCTGTTCTGACACTCAGCAACGTTTGATTTGCGTTTTTTACCACGATTCGACTTATTTTGCAACGAAGGCGATAACGTTACAGCCGCCATGATGCACAGCACACGCCGAAAAAATTTATTGGAGGGGGGGGGGGAATTTTGAGAGGCATGGTTCGCTTCAGGTACCATACAACATTATTCCATGGAAAAATCGATTTCATAAAATTTGCGGGTTACAACGTTGTTCGAGCCGACTCTTCAAATATATCGAGTGAGTTTGCTCATCAATAATTTTGCTAATTCAATTCCGATTTGATTATTCGGCAGTTTCGAAAATCTCGTGACTCGGCTATGCTGTACTGATGGAATTTTTCTGGGAATAATTGTAATCTCAGCAGCGAATAAATTTCCTTTTTTTGTCTCAGTGTACGTTCCACAAGAATCTTGACTCTCAGTTATGTGATAATATGGTGTTGCCTTCTCTACCTAATGATTTTTACTCTTGCAAAGAGCAGTTGTGCCCATGGGAATGTCAATTTTTTATAAGAGAATCCGAAATTCTAACGTGTGACTCGAATTTTCATTCTTCCTTAACGTGTGACTCGAATTTTAATTCTTCCTTGCCATACATACAGGGTGATCTAAAGAAAACTTTACACCCCGATGTTATGGCTTTAAAATGAAAATTTGGAAAAACGCTCAGATCCATCGATTTTTGATTCGAGAGAAAACGATTTGTCTGCTGTCTTCATTGAAGATTTCATCGAGTACTATATACTTCCAGCAGGTTTCATTAGAAAATTACGCAGCTTTGTTGGATATGTCGATTTTGGCATTTTTCAGGAGTTAATAGATCATAGAAATTCATTTGATGATATATTTCAATGAATAAACAAGTTTTTCAATTAACAGACTCATAGTTTTTTCAATCCAGGTAGATGCGTCAATTTGTTTCATTCATTGTCTGCTAAATATTTCAGCATCGAAGGGACATCAAAGGATGAGATTCTGAAATAAAAAGTTATCGATAACTCAAATAGCAAATAGAATTCGGTTACGTTCCCAAAACTACTAATTAACTCACCAGCACGTCCATTGATGGTGCTGTCCTCCGTGTACTGTGACAGAATTTCCTAGTCCTTTTCTATCCCAGAGGATCCGGTCTTGTGACAATTGTCTTTGAAATCAAAAATACATTCTGTTACGAAAAAAAAACAAAAAACAAAGGAGCCTTCTATTGCTCGTTAAAACTGAATGAACTGAACATTCTTCCCTGGCAAGTGCAACAAGAAAACACCGTCTACTACATAGCAGTGAAGAGTATCCTGGAAAAGTTGACGTGCGGCATATACTCGACCTCCTTGATCCGCCTCCAATCGCTCTCCTCCATCAACACGGTGAGCTCCTGCCCCTCCTCCATAACCTTCCTGTCTAGGACCCTCCAGTTGCGCGTCGACAGTCCCTCGTTTTGCGTGCACAGCCTTCTGAGGATTACTTCAGGGTCTTCGCAGGGCCCCGGCACCCACGTGGACGCCCTCACCGCTGGTGTCGACACTGTCAGGTTGAGGCCGAGGCTGGGCGAGCAGGCTTCCACCACGTGCTCCAACCACCTTGATGGAAATAATCGTCACTGATTGGGGTACAGTGTAGGTACCAATTCGTTACATTCATTGTCCTACGACCACTATTAGACCGGCAGGTAGTGACAGATTTTCGGACGTGATTTCACCCAGTATGCCTTTGGGAGGGTATCATTATGTATACAGGGTGTAACTAAATGAGTGTGAAACATTTGAGGGGGCGATTCCTCATCGAAAAAAAGATAGAATCTTTCATTTAAAGAAACTTCATTGGAGCATCACATGTTAAGATACAGCCTCTTGAAGGAGGTACAATTTTATTAACAATTTTCTTCACAAGCACCAAAAAAATTACAGTATTGAAATTGACCTTACATTTTCCATTTTCTACTATCTCTGTAGTTGATCGTAACATATTTTTTCTGCAACCGACACAAAAGTCGTCCATTTTGATACCAAAATTAGCTCTTAAATTGACGTTTCTATTACTGACACAAAAGTAGGTATGTTGCTAGGCAACATATTTAGTTCCTAGGAGCTAAAGTGGAACTTTAGGTCCTAGGAACTAAAAAGGATGTACTGGACGTCATCAAGAATGAACGACATTGTTACGGTTGGTTATTTGGGTTGAGATGCATACCTGATTTGTTTCCGATTTCGGCATATTTGGCATTTCATGCCGATGCTGGAGATATTAATACACCTTATTATAGTTAAGTATTGCCAGTATTGGAATTATAAACATCTCAGTTGAGTATTTTTGTTTTGATCAGAGAAGCCTTCAAGATTCAATCACTTGCTTGATCTGTATTTCATTCGTTATTCTCGGGATGGATAACTTGTTTTTGAATAATCACGGCAAGCAATTGTTTTTTTTTTGTCTCAAACAACGATATTGTTTAGCTTCATTTGATTATCAAGTCAAACACAGTATAGTATGGAGAGGAATAAATAATCACTATTATCATTGTTGATATGCTCACTAACCTAACATTTTCCACGTCTTGTTCCTATAGCTGGCACTGGCGCGGTATTTGCCATTAGAGCACCTGGTCCATACACAAATATGTCACTCTGTGGTTGTATTTATATTGAAACTACAATTCGAACATCCTAGAAAACCTAACCTGCTGTTAATGCAGGTAGAATATTCTCACCACATGGATTATATGTCAATATTTGTTGCATTGCATACATATGGCACGGCATTGGTGGTTACTTCACATGTTTATTTGAATTAATCATTTCGGTTGCAGAAAAAATAGCATGTTTCATTCGGATCAAAAGTGACTTTGTTCGACTCGCAAATTTTGCTTTCGCTCGGCTTCGCTAAACGCTCCGCCTCGCAAATGCAAAATTTGCTTGTCAAACAAAGTGTCACTTTTGATCCTAATAAAACAATCTACTATTTTTGCTGCAAACTGGTTTATTTTGGACATTTTTTGTTTAGAATGAAACAGGCTATCGGAAATACATTTTTAAATGGTGAACAAATAATAAGACAAAAAGTTACATTGGAAATAAAATTTAGGGGTTGCGTTTTCCACCCCTTACAACCATGGAGTAAACCAAATAAATTACTGGCTAAGTGTCTTTTTGATAGTAGAAAATGTCAGGCTAATTTAAATACTGTAACTTTTTTGGTGCTTGTGAAAAAAATTGTTGAACAAATGTTATGTACCCCCTTCAAGGGGCTGTATCTTAACATGGGATGCTCCAATGAAGTTTCTTTATATAAAAGATCCCATCTTTTTTCGATGAGGAATCACCCCCTCAAATGTTTTACACTTATTTAGTGACACTCTGTATACGCAGTGTGTGCGATTTCAACCCGCAACACCCCTCTTATTTGAAACACATCGACCGATTAACAAAAACAAAAATTCTATAGTATCAACGAGCTATATTCGAGAATGTGAACAAATTTGAAATATTCAGATTTTCAAAGCCTGCTTTTGTTTGTTGGAGGAGTCAAAATTTCACAGACGACTATTAGGCAATTTTTTTCGTGACTCGCCTATTCGATTCAGGCCTAACTGAAATACCCCTATACGAAATTTGAACGCAAAATGTCATATAGGGTGTTAGTTATTCAGTGGCAAATTTTGATATTTATGATTTTTCTATTCACTCTGTATCAAAATCTAAGAAGTTGATATAACCCGTGAAGTCATTACTTAGATATGAAGTTTAGTAGTTGTAGCCGTTGTAGTTTCTACAGGAAACAGGAAAATCTCTCTAGGTCAACCAAAAATTAATGAAATTGCGAGTTGACAATTTTTTTCATTATGATCCATAATATCTTTTTCCCTGCGAATATAAATGATGGTAACTAATTCGAGGGAATATTCTCTATACATCATAATTTCTATTGTCATTTCAAATTTCCCTTCCATTTCGCCAAAATCGGTATATTATAATGATCACATTAAGTATCAGTAAATCTCTCCGAGTCTTTGGAGTGTTTGTCTGTCATTCTTTTTGTGTTATATTCGACAGTTCTTCATCATTCGAGACGATTTCCAAAGTTACTGTGTGGTAACGTGTGTGAAAATTTTGTGTGAAAAACGGTTTACTTGAGTTTTCAAAATGGTGAACCTCAACTCAAGTTTTATTGATTTTTGGTTGACCTTGCAAGATCTTCCTGTAGAAGTTACGACGATGAGACTTCGTATCCAAGTATTCGATGTCTTCCTCCATTGAATGACTACTTCAGCAGTTATATCAACTACTTAGATTTTGAAACAGGGTGAATCGAAAACTCGAAAATATCAAAATTTGCCATTGAATAACTAATACCCTTCTAATACCCTATAAAAGTTTTGGCATTCAAATTTCGTATGGGGTATTTAAACTAAGCCTGAATCGAATAGACAAAAAAATGACTAATAGTCGTTTTTGAAATTTCAACACTTTCAACAATCAAAAGTAGGCCTTGAAAATGTGAATATTTCAAATTTGTCCACATAATCGGATACAGCTCGTTGAGTCCTATATTATGGGATTTTTGTTTTTGTAAATCAGTCGACGGGTTCCAAATTAGAAGGGTGTTGCTAGTTGAAATCGCACACACTGTATATTGATATTAAAAAATGATATACAGGGTGTTTCGAAATTCGACCGACAACGCTTGACAGGTGTCGTAGTTTCATAATTACTGCGATGGGGACAAACGGTCTTTAAGTGTTCATTTCTTGAGATACAGGGGTGTTGAAGTTGAAAAATAAATATAGTTATTTCGCAATAACTCAAGAATGATTGAATATTTTGCATTCAAATTCGGAATATGATTTCTCCTTCGAATTGGTAATTTTCTGACTAGAAAGTTATTCTGGCCATTTCTTCCAGCGGTCCGTTACAAGGGGATATGGTTACTTTTTCTCCCGAAAAAATATTTTCAGTGTCGTCACAGTGAGTTAATTTATCGATATTTACGGTTAATATCATTATACGCCACTGGTTTTTCTGACTTCCATATTTTTATTAGATTAACTCAACTTTCTCATCTTCTGTGTTTCTTTTGTATCTCGCTTAGTATTTGAGGAAACAATAATAATTCGATTTGACTCCAAATTTCAATGTAGGTGCTCTCGAAACATTCATTGAGATTACTCTATAACCTCAATAAAAATCATTTCGAAATTTTGGGACTCTCAGTCTCCAACCATATTGAATTTTGGCACCATGAAAGCTTATACAGGAGCGTTATAAATAAAAACAATTAATACCTTCAACATCCTGTATATCAAAAACGAAGCAAGTTAGGACACAGGTTTATATGAACTTTATTTCCTAAAATATCACAAGGAATCACTCCCTGAAGTGTGTCGCACTTATTCACTAACACCCTGTATATATCATGGGAGCAAAGGTTCAGTTCCTCCCATGTGTCTTGAATGCCCTCTGCTACACGTCGTGCATCAAACTTCATACGCGGAAGGAAATAGATTCCTTTCCTTCCCTGATATATAAATAGCTATCATTCTATATTTTATAGTTTCAGTATGTTTTACGATAAAAAAAAGTCAAAATCAGCAGTGTCAAGTACATTTAGGAACTCTAATATACTGTGCTGTCACTGTACACTATAAACAGGGCGATTCATTGATATGGAAAAAGCTCGATTTCGCCTACATCCTTAATGGTATCGAAATGAAGTAATCGGTATTGCAAAAAACGTCAAAATCAGCAGTGTCAAGTACATTTTAGGAACTCTTGTTTTACGAAAATTGCATGTTATAAGCTTCAATATTTTTGAACAAACTTAAAACTTGATTTTTCTGTTGTGTTTTTTGTAAAATAATTCTGGTAGATGAAATTTGATTCTGTGTATTAATTTTCAATAGTAATCATGACTCATAGCAACCCTGTTTATCACTTCGGATACCGTTAGTTATTCTGGGGAATTATTGATAAAAGCATTGTATAATTGCTACTTACCTTTGGGAGTAAGCATCCGAGCATAATACGACGATAGCACCGTCTATTAGATCTATACCGGAAAATTTGGGACCAGTTGTTCCAGGCGGCAGTAAATCGAGCTTGGCGAGCAAAGCATTTCTGATCATTCCTGCTTGTTCCTCAACGAGAATCATATGTGGATATCCTTCGGGTATAATTGTGACTTGTAGGCAACGAGCAGCATCTTCCATAAGCCTAATGCCTACTAATTCAAATTTAATGGAACATGGTGTTACTGGAATGACCAACAACAGAAATTTTTACGTAGAAGTTATGAATTACAATTTTTGAAAAAGATTTTGAGGATTTGTTGCTGTATATTTAAGCTGATAACAATGATAATTATGAAAAATTCGAACAATAATTCGGATTCCAACATCTGATTATTATTTGAGACTGTGTTAATTCTTGTTTCTTTCAACTGCTTTTGACCATTAATATAATAATAATAATGATAATAAGGATAATAATAATAAATGCTCTCATTGACTCAAAAGAACAAAAGGCAGAGTTCAACTCGCCAATAAATCGACAGACAGCCCACTTAACCATATGTGAAGTATGAAAAATTATTTTGGATATAATGAAATCTCTATAATGATCAATGAACCAGAAAGAAGCAAGTACAAAGCCAGAAAATAAGGATCAAATGGAATTTTATTAATATATATCTAAGGGATTCTGGACACTAAACGACGTAGCCAAAAGAGAAGACTACTTCCTGTAATTGTTAATTTTATAGGAATTGAAAGTATATACTATTAATGTAGGAATACAACCTTGATCTTTTGATAATTTACTTATTTGTCGCCGACAAATTGATTTTTGAAAAGATGAGAAAAAAGCCTCAAATACTTCATGAATACAAATATAATACATTACCTGGATTAGGACATTTATCATCAGACGGCATCTGACTCTGTTCAATACCTCTACTATCGGAAAATTGAGTATTCTCCATATTGCCAATGTCGATGTGATACAACGACCCAGAAGCACTTTCACAAAATTCTGTACATCCCATGTGGATTGAAGATCCGACTTCGTTTATTTGTCGTGTATGTTCTATGTCTTCACTATAGGACGGATTCTGATTTGTCATGCTGAGAGTGCTACAATTTGAGTTATTTTTCACTTCTAATATCACGAGAGAAAAAATTCTCGGATATTAATTGAAGCTAAAGTGGTATTCGGTAAGAACATTTCACACCAAACATTTTCGATCGATTTAAAGCCATGGAATTTCAACAACATGATGAAATGTAAGAACTAACGTATAGAAACAACATGTGTTTCTGTAAATTTCGAATTTCCAAGTATACCTACATAATTTTCTATGGTAAACTGTTGATAAATAATTTTTATTTATTTACTTATAGAATAAACTCGAAATAATCTGAAGTTGAATGTGAATGTCATTTAACCTATAAACTTCAAAAAATTTCCAGTGTAATTTCCTGCTCCGTCACCCAAGAAGAAGGAGAAAATTTCCAGGAAATGTATTTAGTTGCTATGGTAATGATACGATATACAGGCTTTAAATTGATCGAAAATGTTTGGTGTGAAATTTTCACTATAATTTTGCAAATAAAGCCACAATATACAGGCTAATTTATGAAAATGGTCCTGTTTCAGTGAAATAATATTTCATTTCATTATTTTGAAGTACTAAACTACTTCAAGATTCACTGTCACTACCAGTTTCCTCACCAGAGGTAAACATTTTTAGTAACTTTTGAAATCCACAATATTTCATGACTACTAATAATTATAAGTGATAAGTGCCTATTTGAATCTGATTGTGGGGAGTATTAGTGAGAAACAGTCGAATGTGATCGAGTAGTTAGATTGATTCGTTCAATATTAATCATAATAATAATAATAATAATAATTATGAATATGGAGCTTCAGGAAATGTGAATTTCCTGTACTAAGACTAACTAAAAAAACCATCGATAAAAAATATGTTGGAATAGTTACGATCATTGCTATTCAGATTATTCATACACCAATGTTTCTTTCCGTGCTTGATTTCATTAGGAATCCCGTACAGAGATATCATATTACAGTGCAAAGACGAAGATGATCAGTACTGTATCCATATTTATACTAAGTCACACATATATCGTTGACGTACCTATTACATGAAATGCTTCAGTGATGTTCTATGAAGTGAAAAAAATAAATCTGTGGTGCCATTTGACTGCTTTTCAATAACATATTCCACATTTTTTAAAAGAAGTAGGAAATGAAATCCTCCATATTCCATGCTTATGGGATTGATAAAAGCGGGACATACATCTCAAAGTAGAATCAAAAACACTTCTAGGATGCCAAGTTGCTGACAAAATTAGAACATTTCTATTCAAAGCGATCGGCCAATAGCCAGTTTCAACAATCAACACCTAACAGTGTCACCAGCATGGACGTATAAACAAAGAAGGACCCATTTATTTACATCGTAATGTGAAGCCAGAGAATACGGTCACAGTATATCACCTGATGTTGAATTGGCGGTTGTCACGTCCTGTCGCTATTAATTCCTAACCTCAGTCTAATCCTCTCAAGTATTTTTACTTACCCCTTTTGTAATCATCTATTCAATTAGATGTTCATTATGATCCAATTCATAGATCTCAAGGAATAAATCATGTGTCCATAGATAGTCACAATCAAATATTATAAAACTGTCGTTATACATTATTTCAAAGTTATTCTGTAAAGGTTACCGAGATTATACACAACCGACAACGCCTCTGCAAAACAGGCTCGTTTCGTATAATTTTCCTATAGATGAAAGGTTTTGTCGGAACACAAAACTGTATTTGTTTTGTTCGCTTGGTATAAAACCCATAGCGACCCGTATTGACAAACGGTCATATAGTGATTGGTATTCAGTTTCTGGTCGATATTTTTTTTGGATTCCGAAATTTACTATCACGATAATTCATTTTCGCACGCCGCTGTCGTTTGAGGAAATAGCACAGTCTATCGTTACCGTTTCCCTTCCCCTCAACCCGCTTGCCTACATCTTTAAGACTTCAAAACATTATATGCTGAAATTATAGAGTTGCTGTGCCTTTTTTTATACGTCCATGGTCACCAGCCATCTAGCAAGTTGAACGCCTAGACATGGCATAGCTAAGGTGAAATGTAGGTAGATTCAGATCGAATTTGAATGTTTATTTTTATGAAATACCTTGCTGGCTCTTCATAGCCTGTTTGCACGCCTGCACTCAACCAAGTATTGTCCAGTAAGTGCTTTTCAACTGCAGCTCTATGCATTTGGGAAGGCTTGGGGTCTTTTGTCACTTCTTGCAGTCTCCTCTGCCTTTTCCTAGCATTTTTCATCAGCGTTTCCCCAATGGGCACTACTTTTATTTTATTTCGACCAGTCTGAGTCGCTTTTTGCATATCAGCCCAAAGAGGCCACAGTCCCAGAGCCCTCAAGTCAGAGTCTCTCAATGACTTAGCACCTTCAAATTAATCAATATTACCTCATTTCGCTCTAGAAAGAATGCATGCAAAAATATACCGGGTGACCCGGAACCAATTTACCCCCCTATATCTTCGTTGTTATTTTGTATGGATGTTTCAAATTTGGTACTTCGATTTGATGTTGTGAATGTATAATTTAGCAAGTATCAATCCAAATATGTCACTTTCGGTTTGACCGGAAGCGCATCCAATTTTTATATTTCGAATAGGAAGTATTTTTTTTTTTTGAAAATTACAATTCGGTATAGAATTACCTTTACAATGACATATCACAATCATACTTTCAATTTACAATCTGCTGGTATAATTGACATTTTATAAAAAAAATACTTTTTGTGTTCCCCTCGTAACGGAACATTTTCATGAAAGTATGCTGTGGAAGATTGAACAATATCATGTAAGTAACAATAATTCATGGCCAAACTTTTTACACGGTAAGTTTTATGCAGACTAATTATTTTTATAATTTTAGTTTTACTTAATTTTTCAACATCAATAAATAGGAATTTTTAAAGTTGGTTAGAAACTCAAATACATATTGAAATACGAAAAATGAAAGAAAAACCTGTACATTTTTGTTTCCTAATTATTTTTATGGAGATAATTTCCATGCTATACCTTGTATTGAACATTTCAACATCATGTTAGTTGGCTATGAAATTAAATTTATTCTAAAGGTTATTCTTGAAACTGCACAATCGGACGCACAAAATATTTATTTCGATAATTTTCCTACAAAATAGTAGACATTTGGAACATGTACAAATGATTTTCTTAGACAATTCAGAACATTCGAAATGTCAACAATTTGGCGTAAACACAACAACAGAACAATTCAACAAATTTAATTCCATAGCCAACTAACATGAAGTTGAATTGTTCAATACAAGGTATAGCATGGAAATTATCTTCATAAAAAATAATTAGGAAACAAAATTGTAGAGGTTTTTTCATTTTTTGTATTTCAATATGTATTTGACTTTCTAACCAACATTAAAAATTCCTATGTATTGATGTTGAAAAATTAAGTGAAACTAAAATTATAAAAATAATTAGTCTGCATAAAACTTACCGTGTAAAAAGTTTGGCCATGAATCATTGTTACTTACATGATATTGTTTAATCTTCCACAGCATACTTTCATGAAAATGTTCCGTTACGAGGGGAACACGAAAAGTAATTTTTTTATAAAATGTCAATTATACCAGCAGATTGTGAATTGGAAGTATGATTGTGATATGTCATTGTAAAGGTAATTCTATACCGAATTGTAATTTTCCAAAAAAAAAATACATCCCATTTAAAATATAAAAACTGGATGCGCTTCCGGTAATACCGAAAGTGTCATAATTGGATTGATACTTGCTAAATTGTACATTCATAACATCAAATCGAAGTATCGAATTTGAAACATCCATTTAAACTAATAACGAAGATACAGGGGGGTAAATTGGTTCCGGGTCACCCGGTATAAGGGTATCGCGGAGACTTATTCCTGTCGAATTGGCCCTTTTTCACTTGGAAAGCGTCAGACATTTTGTGCTATTTGTATGACAAATACTGTTGAGTTGAGTGTTTAGTGAGCTTCTAATTTCATTTGAGACGGACATTCATCAAGAGATAGAATTATCTCGACAATGGGGGAGACCACTGATTTTTCAAAACGACATTATCGTGAACTATATACTGAAAAACTACAAGTGAATTAATTTTGAATTTTTTCATTCATGCTAAGACCATGAAAAAAATAAATTTGAATATGTTCATTTCAAAACACACAATTCCTGCGCCATATGAATTTTTGTCAATTCATTGGTGTGACTGATGCGACGTCTTAGTTCCAACACGCTTATTGCCCTTGAACTGACCAATCACACTGCGACACTGCAGAATGACGAGGTATCGGAGAGGGATAGCTACAGTTCGGGTCTAATACGTCATGGCTCTACCATCATATTTGGCTTTTTGAAATATCGAATGAAATAGGCTGATTTTAAAACAATATAGATTCGATTCCCTTCAACTTCAACTCATAATATTGATCGTACATAAAACGTGAATCATGATTCGTCGATTGAAAGAGGTTTGCACGGATTTCTTTCCTCAGTGTTCTTCCCCATTCCACGACGAATATGAAACTGTAATCTCCTGCAATACAGTGTGTCCATTTAGTGCGTAATTCTTCGATATCTCGAAATCCATCATCACAAGAGAAAAACTTTTGGAATAAAATTTTTTCCGTTATCAAAGTTTCCCATTTCGAATATATTTTCATCAATACTGGGAGGGACGACTCGGAGACGAGTTTTTTCGAATAGAACACCCAGTATTTTTTATTCGGAATTTATTCCTCTAAAGTTCAGCTCTACATCGCTGTAAAAAACTCTATTTGTTTGCGACGTTGCCAAGTCATGATTGATAAACCCATTTTTACTACTATTCAAGGGTCATGTTGAATTGGGTATGGTATATTCATTTATTGAAATTTTAAAAATATTTCTGGCATACAGTAGAAGCAAGGTCTCACGTACACCAATCCAGTAATTTTGCGAGATTATCCTTTACAGGGTGCTGAAATTTACATTCTGAATATTGTAAAATTCAGACGACGTTCATTAGAATGTATCAAATGGAACACCCTGTATTTTTCATCACAAATTTATTTCGACATCATTCGCCTTTTCAACGCTGAAATTAAAATCAAAATCGGTTGCGGCGTTTTCAAGTTATGAGTAATGTCCTTATGTTCTTCACTATCTCAGGGCGACTTATAAGGCATGGCTCCTTTTTTGATTTGAGTGTGGAAATATTGCTTACCACATGACATTCGAGGTTCTACATAGATTATTCAAGTATTTTTGCGATATATGCATTGTCCAAATTTGAAATATTCCGTAATCTTGTTACTTATGATTTAAATAATATGTACCTATGTGAAACAAACAAACATGCCAAAAGCAACGCCTGCCTAAAACAACTTCTACAAAACAAAAAACGGAGATTTGAATTGCGAGAATAAAGACAATTTTTTAAAATTTGGACCATTTTTATCGTCGTTATTCCCACAATCCAATTCCTCATTTAACTTGAAGAAGGCAAACTCTACATAATGATACAAACAATATTTCTTTACTACGCGGGTTACGGGAGGGAATTCAGCAAAATTTTAAATAAATTCAAGATATTTTTGATTGTGGCGATGTTTGACAGATCATTACACAAATAATTTGAGTGTATTTCGAAAAATTAATTCATAGTCTGCAAAAAATCTGTGAAAGTAGCATTTTGGATCAATTTGTCAAAACCCACTCTGTTTTGAATTCAAACTTGGAGAGCCTGTGAATGTTCCTATTGTAAAAAAATATATGAATGGTCAATGAAGAAATTTGATTATACAGTAGCAACGCAATATTTTCATAATACAAATGAATGAAAGAACTATGACGTACAAATTACCCGGCAATAGTAGTAAAAATAAGGAAATTATCCATAACTTGACAACGACGCAGCCGATTTTTTTTTTCAGCGATAAAAAGGCGAGAGCTGTCGGAATGAATTTGTGAAAAAAAATACAGGGTGTTCCATTTGAAAAATTCTAATGAATGTCATCTGAATCTTGCAAAAGTCTAAATGCAAAATTGAGCACCCTGTTAAAGAACATGTCGCAAAATTACTGGATTGTTATACGTGAGACCTTGCTACTACCGTATACCAAAAATATCTTCAAAATTTGAATAAATAAATATAGCATGCCCAATTCACAATGACTCTTCAATAGTGGTAAAAATAGATTCATCAATTATAACTTGGCAACGCCGTTAGCGATTTCAATTTTTTTTACAGCGATGTGAAGGTAAACCTCGGCGGAACAAATTCCGAATAAACAATACTGGGTGTTCCATTCAAAAAAACTCGTCTCCGAGTCGTCCCGCTTTAATAAAACACCCAGTAATGTTGAAAATATTTTTAAAATAAACAACTTTAGTAACCGAAAAAATGTTTCCTTCAAAGTTTTTCTCTATAGGTTATGGCTTTGGAGATATCGAAGAATTACGCACTAAGTGGACACACTGTATAAGAACCAATCAAAATGGTGTACCTTGATAGTAGGTACGCTGCTTTGTCCTTTCGAGCCGGTAAGACCACGTCGTCACGGCAACCACGAATCTGAATAGAACAACATCTTGTCAACTGGTATGATATGGAGATAACAGTTTGATTAAGTAGGTCGTGGAATGGGCGAGTGACTGATAATGAATTATTGGCATTCAGTTACTCAACTATGTCGTTAGGGACCTAAATTGATTTTTGTAACACTTCTCACGCTTTTTCATGTAAATAATGAGTCTATGCGTTCAAAATCGTTGAATTTCGGAGCTCACTTCAAACGTACCGTCATGGCCGCTATTTGCCAATACGTCGAATAAAGGGTGACGTCAGTTTTTATACTGTTTCGTTATTGGTCAAGTAATCTTCCATTCCAAGCAAGGTTGTCAAGTCATCAATTATAATCAAGTTATCAAAAAGATGTTAGACTCCTCGTTGATTAAAATATAACAGGAGGAAGCCATGATATTATAGTTCATTCTTGACTTTTTCGAGCAAACCAGCATGTCCAAATACAGGGTGCGGCATCATAACTTCCTTATTTCAAAACGCAATAAAACCCATTTTATGGATTAGAATTTTTTATTATTTTTTTAAATAATGTAGGTACATATCTAAAGTTTTGCTTCACACAGTTTTAAAAATCATGTCCGGTAGATGACGCCCCCCATTGTCAATACACTGAATGAGCCGATTTCAGGCGTTTGTCATAACCCTTTCCAGCATGTCAACTGGTATGTTGGCAATTTGAGCCCGAATATTGGCTTTGAGATTTTCTAATGTTCTTGGACGGTTGACATAAACACGGGATTTTAAAAATCCCACAAAAAAATCGCATGGGGCCAAATCCGGGAAGCGGCAAGCCATTCCAAATCGCCCCTTATTGAGATGAGGAAAGTGTTCCCTCAATACAGCCATCGATGCCCTTGAAGTGTGGGCCGTTGCGCCATCTTGTTGAAACCAAACGTCCCCCAAATCCAGTTCATCAAGTCGGGGGAATAAAAAATCTCGAAAATCATCCAACATGTTCACATGCCGGTCAAAATTCACTGTCACTGTTTCCTAATTTTCTTCAAAAAAACCAGGGACCAATTATCCCAGCAGAGGAAATTGCACACCACACTGTAACTTTAGGGGAATGCAGGGGTCTTTGATGCAACTCTTTAGATGTACGCCTACTGAATAAGAGCAGTCTCCGCCCACTACGATCTTTACAGTCTAAATGGCGCGCATTTCAAAAAAGGAAGTTATGATGCCGCACCCTGTATTTCTAATACTCCATAACAAAATTTCATGTAAATGTTGGAGACTGGCAACATTGTGCTGAATGCTGAGAAGGGACAAGACCACGCCCACAAGTCGTGCGTCGTGTTGTCACGTTTACCATTCGAATGTGTTCTGTAGTGTGAATTGATGTAATAATCATTATACACGAATGCATTTTGAGCAATAATCAAGCATAAGGAAAAATTTTGAGACAATTGATTTTTTAATGCTAATTCGAATATCACCAATACCTAATTGAGAATTCATGAATTATTGAATAACTAATATTTCTGAAGTTCCCAATCGTCTCTCTCTTGAAATATATAAATGAAAGCAATGTGTATGGTATAGATGAGGAGATACTGCTTACTAAGCATATACTTATGTACCTAGTTTTCCTAGAGACGTTTTCTATATGATGATTCCTACATCGGCGTGCTTTCCGAGTGGTCTTGATTTGAAGAGAACAATATACAGTTTTAAAGTATATAACACACGGACTTGTTATTTCCATAACCAATTTCCATCACTCAACATATGGGAACTGTGCTATGGTCTGCCCCTACTTACGAAATTGTGTTATTTCCACACATTGTTAATATAGGCGAATAGCATTCCATTATAGCGAAGCGAGATCCTGAATGGTCTGAGGAGAATACTAACCATTAGACAATTTTGAGCTATCCAGATCGATGGTACTTAGTCTTCGCAGCCTCTTTTCATTTTTTCTTGATATCTCCATAGGCGGGTTTCTACCCTCGATAGAATCGACATGCGCTTTCATCTGCAGCAGGTCAATGAGGGTTTGATTCTTCTTCAGACCTTGCTGAAAGATTGATGTTTTCAAAGCTACGGGCTGTTACTTATTTTCTTCGTATGATTATAAGCCAATCAGAACGGTCAATAGAGTTAAGCTACCTTGTATAATTTCAAATATACGTGGATTTACATTGAGTAACTCCACCAATCAGAAATTTAGAATTATTTCCATAGAAACCAATTCATATTGTTACATACAAAGCGCGTCGTGAAATGTTGACGTTCGTTCAGAACTACTCAAAAAATAATCGCATCGAATACAATTCAAACTTCGAACTCTCCAACTTCCTGTATAATTACAAATCGTGTCAGATTAACAGAATAATCCTCCCACTTCGAGTTCGTTCAGAACTACTCAAAAAATAATCGCATCGAATACAATTCGAACTATGCAAGGTTATACATGTCAAATTTCCTGCATAATTACAAATCGTGTCAGATTAACAAAATAATCCTTCCACTTCGCGGTCGGATTATTTCAACTTTCAAACTGACACTTTTTGTAATTATGCAACAATATTTTTTAGTATTACCAATGATAATACTTCAGGGTTTTTGGAAAACGATTTTTGTTCAGCTTCAAATTTTGTTTGCTACCTGTGCTCTTCAAGGTATTGAGAAATAAATATACAGGGTGATATATATGAGAATGCGAAGAATTTGAAAAAATGTAAAATGAAACGGACCTCTTTCTTTTAGTAGCAATCCACCGTCTATTTTGATCTTGAGACCAAAACATCGATCGCACTTCCTCCATTGCTCTCAGACTTGGCAAATTCAACCGATTTTTATGAATAATACCACCAAACATGTTTTGCGATAACCCCCTCAAGTAAAGATACAAATTGATCTCAAAGATGTCAGTACACTTCACATTCATAATTAACATCACAACTCTACGTCATACGTCAATGCACGAATCATATCGCATCATCTCCAGATCGTCAATTTCTAGCCATTTTGGTTAATTCTCATTTCACATAATAGGTTTCTTGTCATTTGTGAAACATTAAACCACTTCCGAGATTTCTAGTTCTAGGTGTTGCGATCGTCTGCAGACTTGTGGCATTTTGCTTCTCTGTAGCGTAGACGTAGGGGTTTGCCGACTTATTCGTAAGGTTTGGTCGCCCATTTCTGCCCGGAAATGGAATTAACAGGTAAGATGCATTTTTATGAGATTGGAGAAATGCCCATTTTGGCCCACAACGATAAACTAATCAAAAGGTAAATTACCTGATTGAATATTGTTAGGGGCGCACATTATTGTTAGATCATTTGGTTCCGCACTCGGAAAGGGTAGATATTGAAAAAAAAGCGTCTGGCTATTAATTATTATTAAATACTTTCGGCAAGATGCTCTGGCACTGTTGCCGTTTTGTGGATATGTATGTAGAAGACTTAAGAATCGTCCGGGGGTTCAAGGTATATAAACCGACCCGGCTCTCCGTCCATAAGTGTCTGTCATTTGATACCCATGTCGAGGGAATTCTAAACGAATTCAGTAGTTATCTACCTAACAAGTGCGAAAAGTAGTACTTTACCGCACGGGACTGCTGTTGCACGAACGACGCGGAGCGGAGTTCGGGCAAGCCGTCAATTGTGGAAAAGACATTTGCCGCAAGAGTAAGGTATAATGTTTTTCCACGAGTGTTTTTGTGCATATTATTATTATTTAAGAAAAAAAAAGGTTTTTAATAAACAAGATTTTATAACAATGCTACAAAATGACACATTAGACAAAATAGTTACATAGATCATTTAGTTAGTCATATAAATATCCCCATATTCAACAATACAAAAATCGTGGGGAAAAGTAACTTTTCAGCACTAGTGAGGTAAAGTAACTTTTCCGCACGCTCGTAGAAGGAATTTTTTTGTCGGCGGTCATATTGGATTTAAAGCTTTGTTATAAATTGTATTCTTCTTAATAATAACCGTATTGAATCTGATAATACCCATATTGACCAGACCCAAAGATATGTGTAAAATTGCAGCATGATTGGATATCGGGAAGTCGTCGAAAAATCGATCGCCAGACAGAAATCAAAATGTTCAATAAAGAAGAAATTTTTATCAATCTTCTCATCTTTTCGAATGATTAAAAGGAATCCAACGGGAAACCTTGGAGAGAATGAAAATTCGACTAACATATAATATTCTAAGTGGGACAAGGTACTCTCAATGCTCACGGTACCTCTCCGTCGAAAAAAAATCAACAAAGTAGGTATTGAAACAAAATACTGTGCAGTCCATATATGCTTTCTTTGTGCAAAATTTATATTCATATCTGAACATCGTTGAGAAATTTTAGTTCAATAGGCCTTTTCATTTAAATGACAAATGCCTATCACTGTCTACATTTCGCATCCAACGACAATGGCGGCCATTTTCACCGAAACATTTGCACCACACCCCTCAGTAACGAATAAGTAACGTTAAATTATTATAATACGATAGAAATAAACCAGGAATATAGGAACGAACATACTATGTTATTATTGTTGTTTTCTCAATGAGGAATGCCCATTATATGGTTGACACTGTTGACATTTGTCAGAACGACAATAACGTCAATAAAAACCGCCATATACGAAATGGCCAATCAGAATTTTGTTTGGGAACTATGGCGAATGAGACTTCACCTTCCGATTATCCAATCAAATTTTGGATCTAAAAACGAGCGCATGCGTCTTAAAAATATATCTAAATGAAAAGGCCTATTTTCTAATAATTGCTGGGACTACCAAGTTATTCACAAAGAAAACCCAAAGAATTCCCGAACTTCCCAAAGCATTCCTCGGACTTCCCAAAGAATACCCGGACTTCCTCTGGAACTCCCGGACTTCCCAAGGAATTCCCGGACTTTCCGAGGAATTACCAATGAATTCCCGGACTTCCCAAAGAATTCCCAGACTACCCAAGGAATTCCCGTCTAGGGTACACCGGACTTCCCATGTGATTTACCCCTCGGAGAAAACCTAATCACAAATCTGGGATTGAGGTCTATAAAAATAACAAGTTTGAACCCTTGGATTGGGTGAAAGTATTGAATATTCTCAGATATATTTGTGAACACAAAAAGAAAAATTGATATACATATATATATAAAGAAATACATTGAGAATTTGCACTCTCCATGTGATGAAAATATTAATTCTTTCTTGGTTTATTCAACAGAAAGGGGATTTTGATTTTTCATGCTCTCTTTTTGGATATTCAATAGATATAATTCAATGTTCGCCATGGCAAATAGCCAGGAAAGTAGTTGTTTTCTGTTGAATATTCAGAATGATATTATGTGCATATCTTTATATGAAGGAGAATGCAAATTCTCTTCTTCAGAAGATTTATGTTTTTTTTTTTTAATTCTTATCATGTGTGTTCAATAGATGTAATTCAATGTTTGTGGTGGCATATCAATTTTTTCTTCTTTTTTTTGTGTTCATAAATATATCTGAGAATACTCCTACTCAATATTTTCTGAGGGGTGTTTATTATACAGGATGTCCGGAAATTAAGTGCAAAAAATCAAGGGGGTGATTCTACATGATAAAATAAGAAATTCATTCAACATACAGTGTGTTAAAACTTTTAAAAAAGCTCGGTGTTTTATGGATATCGCAAATGTCAGGTTTACAACATTTTGGTTCCTTGAGTTGTTTTGATAATTTGTTTCATTTGCATGGAAAAAAGTAAAAACCAATTTATAGCATAAGTTTGTGCCAAGAAAATCCTTCAAAAACTGGGGTGCAAATAAATGCGTGACCAATGTCCATAGACATAGAATACATACATGTTTGACACACTCTACACTTTGTATATTGAGAACTATGTATTCTTGGTCCAGGAAGGTGTAGTTTTCGATAATACAAATATGTGTGTCAAACATGTATTAGGAAATATTTGAAGGAAATGAATCTGCATTCTTATTCTTTGTCTATGGACATGCACCACTCTTTTAATTTCACCCCTGTTTTTGAAGCAATATTTTCCACAAATTTATACATTGAATTGGTATTTATTTTTTTCCATGGAAAAGCAGCAAAATAGCAAAACAATTCAATAGACCAAAATGTTGTATTTTTAGTTAATCACTAGGATATGAGAATATAGAATTTAAAAAAATCAGTGGCGCACATTTTATAGACAATAATATTCGGTAGGGTGCCCCCAGGACGCCACTGGATTTCACAATTCCAATTTAATTATGGCTAAATCAGCCCCTCATGAAGAATATCATTGCCAAATTTTTAGAGAATTGGTAGGAGGATATTTGAGATATTCATAAAAAAACAATTTTTTCTAAAAAGTTTAACACACTGTATCTTGAAAACTGAGCATTTCCGGGCCAAGTATATATGAAATAAATTTCATGTTTTCACATGCAGACTCACCCCCTTGATTTGTTGTGCATAATTTCTGGGCACCCTGTATTTTCAATACTCAAAGGGGTGGTAGCTACCCCTTATATGGCTGACAAATTGATCAGCTTAGATGAACATGCTGTTCTTTACCTATAGTGATTAATGCTTGGATTAATGTCTGTGCAGAATATAAACATAGCTAAACTTTTCTGATGGGTGTTTATTTTTTCAGTATTTTGCCAGGGGGAAACTACTACCCAAAATGTGTACACTATATTTAAATATCTGGTGAATAAAAAGTACTTAAAATACTTAAAACTGGTACTTAAGGTACTGTTAACTGGTACTTAAATACTGAGGTACTTGAAATGAGACTTAAAAGCTTATTAAATTGTACTTAATGCATTGAAAATGATACTCAAAGTACTTAAAATTCCATGGTGTACACCTATTTAAAGAGTTGTTTTCCCTTGGGTATTTTGTAATGTCTGTGCAGAATATCAACCTGGATAAACTTGTTTTTCTAGCTTAACCTACAGACAGTATATTTACCTTTTTTGTCTTTACATGATCATGAACTTACTGTGTAAATGAAATTCAATAGGATTTGATGACCCTGATGATGCATTCCATTTTTCTCTTGCAGTTTGAGTTTATGCTCTCTGCGTTTAGCAGCTTTATCAGATAATTTGTGCCTTTGTACATCATTCAGAATATGAGATTTATTTTTCGGAGAATTTATTCCTATTGTAATGGATGTTCTGAGTTTAGGTTCATCCAGAGGTTCATCAGTATTGATGCCCGCTACAGGAATAACACCTTGAAAACCCCTTTCTGAAGAAACTTGATCCACTGACAATAATGTATTTGAATTCTTTTCATCTATATGAGGAAAACGCTTCAACCATGTGGGTAATTTTTCTTCAGTAGGATCAGCTGCTAAGGACTCTCTTTGTATGTTTTGTAGTTGGTTTTCAGGTTTTTCCATAGTAGGTACCTAGTCTGAAAGTAGCAAATAAGGAAGTGAGGAGACTATTTCATATATTTTCGATATGGAAATTATTGAGGCTAGCATTTTTTGTTTCTACCATTCACTCACCTAAAAATATCCGAAACCATAAAATAATAATTTAAATAATAATAACAAAACAATAACCTAGAAATTTTGAATTTCACCGGCACCGGCAGCAGCTTTGCCAACCTTTGGAATTTGGATCTGTTCCTGACTGAAAATATATAATACTAGATGACATTTCAAAAAAGCCCTTGAACTGGGAATTTTGTACTGAATTTCAGCTTTCTTCAATTTTGCCGCCCTCAAGTTGTTCGCATAGTTTTTATTTACAAATTCAAGCCGCCGAAAAGACGAAAATGTAGAATAATTTCACCAAACGAACATATCGAAATGAAAAATGAAATTCGGTTGATCAAAGTTATTTAAATATCTTCAAAATGGAAGAAATGTACCATACTCATGAAAAAAATAAACTGGAACATGAGGGATATTTCATTCCATTCCCCGTTGATCCCGGTTAGAGTAGAGTAAATGATGGTTAAATATCTAGACTGTCCGACGGGTATGACCCATCGGACAGTCTAGATATTTAGTCGTCATTGGTAGAGTCCCTTGATGGAAATTGACGTTAAAGTCATCTTAACAGGGTCCGGACAGATCCTCGTCTCCTCTCACTCTCAAGTGTTTTTGAAACAGTTATATAGTTCCATCCTTATTCAATTCTGAATATTGAACCACCATGTATCTGTTCCGATTAAATATCAGTAAATAGTGAAACAAAATAAGTTGAGATAGGGACATGTGAGCCGTTTTGACCGATGATGAATATTTTCGACACAAAAAAATCCTTAAGTTGAAAAATATCGATTTCGAACACCCTATATATATTTCTGTGATAATTTTCGATAGAACCCCAAGTATAATATATCGATGAAATCAGCTCTTCAGGGAGAATCTTAAAATGCGATAAAATACAGGGTGTTCCGTGCGAAATATCTTAAATGAAAAGAGCGTATACCAAAATATAATTATGCACATTTTCATGGATTTCTCCCAACTGATTCTTGATTTAAAGATAGTGTAAGATCGTCGTAACATACCCTATATAGGGCATCAGAGTATGACTACAGAGAAATATGAGGAAAAATTGAGAGAATTTATCTCTGCACTCACCAGCGTGAAAAAAGTGAGGCTTTGATGAAAAAACACGAAACACTAGAACAACACACGATCCCGATATTATTATTATTGAATCGAATGAGGAACACATAAACACTAAATTAAAATTAAAACGATCACTCAGTTTTCAGGGAACACTCAGTTTGGAACGATAAATAATTCCTTTCGCGTATTTCTCGATGCCGATATAAGACTGTCTTGATTTACCACCTGGTCCCGAATGAATGACTAATAAGTTGAATCATGCTGTTAACCGATTAATTTCCGAACAAATGATTCATCTATGAGTAATGATGATAATGGAATTATACGGGGGAGAAATCTATGACTATTGATGATGAAATCATACGGGGGAAAAAGATATATGATATACAAAATATAAGGTGAAGTATTGAACACGGATATACTCTGACATTATTATTTTCGAAAGTCTAATGACTGAACACAGGCTGAAAATATAATGTTTCCCAAGACCTCTAGATAAGTTTTGACAACAACTGGAAAAAGTAGGGAAATAATGAACAATCTGGCCTACTTTTTATAGTCCTTCAAGGGTAGCAGAAACTGCTGCCTCTGTGAGATCATCCAATTTGAATTTTATATATCTTCTCGAAATATTTGAAAATAATAATGATATTAATTTCATCGACTCAAACCTAACCATTCAAACGCTCAACCTAATCACCTTTTCTGCATCAGTGGCCAACAGTAAACTTTTAGCCTCTAACAGTTTTATTTGCAATGACCCGCAAAAACGTTGCCAGTAAATTCCAGTAAAATCGAACGATAATATAAACTCGGCAGTACTGTTCGTGAATATCGGAACATGTTCTCAGTGTGGCACCACCGACAGACCATTGTCGGCTGCCGACAGCTGAATTCGGAACGTCGGAACATTTCTTCATCTGAGACAGAGGTCAATAATTATTCTGTGGTCATATGTCATCTCATCACCTGTCAATTGTCATCACTTATCAAAAATCATATGCACATCACATCGTCACAGACGCGTCACCAAAAATATTGGAATAGATAGTGCACTTCTGTGAGTTTACTTGTATTCATTGGTCGTGGCAGCTTGTGAGATCAAACATAAAATATAAATAAAAATGGAAATTGTTCAAGAATTATCCAGCCAATATATTCTTTATATTCCTGTGGCTTTGGTTATTATTGGGGCTATATTATTGTTTACTTTTGGTTTTAAATCTGCCGAACAACCACCTTTTGATAAACTCACCAATGAGGAAAGAAAATCATCAGCTGGGAAGAAACGAAAAATAAAGGACAAGGTAAATTATTATGATTTTGAAATGATATACTTCCAGTAATGAATTAACATGTACTCAAATTTTTAGGTTTGTTTGCTTTTCAATATTGATAATATTTCAGGGGTTGGTATTTTAAATCCATAGGTACTTGATTTTTCATATGTGGAACATATGTTATTGTAGGTTTTTGTTCTTATTATGGATCTTGAATGAAATATCATATATTATGGAATCAGCATTTCACTGATAACATAATTTTGATAAGAATTTGCATTTTTACTGTTTTATCAATGTAATACTATCAACTGGGGTGAAACGGATCAAAATCTGAGTTTTTTTCACCACTGCAAGCAAAGTACATTCCTTGAGAGTGTAAAAATAAATATGATTTGTATATCCTTCCTCTAGAACTTAGTGAAAAAAATTCAACTATGAATGATTTTTTGATAAAATTCCGTAAAATTCCAAAGTGTGATCTGTTTCATCCAGCATTTTGGGATGAAGAGGATCATATTGCCATCTTGGGCAACCTTTTTTTACCATTTTCAACTATCCCAATATTTTCTTCACTTTACATGTGAGCCACTCCACCCTGTAATGAGTGAACCTATTTTTTTTCCTCATGACTTTTTGAATATATAACTAACATTTCAGATCCCTCTCAAATGATTGACAATATACTTGTTTACCATGTTAGTTTCATGTTTTTTTTGTTTGTATGTATTTGTATTCTATTCACCATAGAAAATAACACATTGCCCCATCTGACAACAACAACTGGAACACTTCTGAGCAGTTTGTTCTGATGCTATGACCAATAAAAACAAACAAAAAAACAAGTGTGAACCAATGAGAACAAAGTAATCAGGCTGCTTTGACAGCTCCCAAGAAATCCTTATTTTCTATCAGGAATGGATGAATCCCAGGGTAGGTTTAGTCACACTTTTGAAAACAGACCTACTTCTAAATACAAATCCGATTTTTTTTTCTACTCATCTGTGGTGATGATGATACATTCCTAGTTTGATCAATGAGCACAAGTTGTTCACCTGCAAGCTCACATTAAACTACACTATGATCCTCTTCACCCCACTATCCATTTCTCCCCTATTGACGGTGCCTATGGAATTTACTCCACAAAGATCCATTCCATATGGGAATAAGTAGGTACCTATATGGTACCTATATAAAACCTATATAATAATAACAATAGGGGCTCTATTTTTAATATCCTCAGCTAAGTCCAGCAAAGCTGTTCCACTTCTAAGAGTACCTACCATATTACAACATTTGAATCAAATAACTATCTACATAGGTAGTAGCTTAAATATAAAACTAATTTATCTACTAAATATAAGTATTACATTATTATATATATTCAAAAATAAAGTTTATTCAGCACAAGAGAAAAATAATTTAGTTGACTGAAACATTGATTTATTCTTGAACTCTTGTGGTGTGGGAGAGAATTGTATATTTTAACTGCATTATACAAGAAGTGTCTCTCATAATATAAAGCTGTTCTATGCATCACCAGAAGATCTGTATTTTTAGTGGAATTATAATGAATTTCCAAAGTGATTGTTAATGGATGGTGGATGTAAATAAGATTTTTATCTACTCACAAAGTAAGCATTTGCTCCCTCATTTAAGGACACAAATCAGTCAATTCACTCCCACGGAAGGAACAAAAAATCTACCTCCCATGGGAGGTGAAATAAATCGGCTTCAGCATGCTTCCTTGGACGTATACCATCTGTGCTACCCAAGTACCTAATCAGTGTATCCATCACTACTATAAAACAAATAACATTTTCCAATGATCTCATACACTTACTGATATTCCAAACACTCAATCTGAAAGTTGAAATAAATAATAAATTGCAATTACACAATTCGCGAGATTCACGAAGTGGGCGACATCTAGGTTACATAATACGAACTTCAAACTGGGGGAAAACAAACTGTTGTCTATGGATAAAGTGCATAGACTACATTGCATTCAGCTTGCTGTAGCTGTAGTCAAACTTGTCAATGACATAAAGTGTTGGCACTGTTGGAAGTGATGATGGTTGAGTTGGTTAATTTTTTTACATTATTACATTTTTATTAGTTTGGTGAACAGTGAAGAGGTGAAGAATTGGAGATAGTTCAAACAATTCAAACTAATGATGACAAGCAAATCAATTGACATATAGAAGAACAGCTACAACATGTTTACAATACCCAGATTGTCCTGCTTTGCAAGAACAAATACAAATCCATTGTTCTACAAGATTTCCTCTGGACCCCAACTTCAATTTTACTTCATGTGGGGGAGATTTCATCGCCAAAGTTTGTAGACAAAGTGCCAAAATGTGCCTTTTGTTGCTTCACACAAAATCACATGATTAGCACGGAGAACTGCTTCTCCTTCAACTACTGGTCGGCTTTTTCTATCTAAATAGAGCAAATCTGCCAAAAAACATCTACAACAGGCATTATTAGCGTTTTCGATCGAATATTGACAATTAATGTCAAGAAATTTAAAAACATCACTCTTATCAGTACACAAGCTAATGGCACTAATGGGATTGAGTGAGGATTGAGTTTGTTTTATTGTTTTCCCCCAATTTTGGCGTGGCTTTGACATGGAACGATGAAAACCGAGCGCCACCTGGTGACATTGATTTCCGCGAATACACAAATTCAATGTGACAGAAGTGTCAATGTCAAATAGATTCAAATACTAGGTGCGTTTTATTGGCAAGATTCTTACACCGGAATGACAATTCATGTCGTTTTATTGAACGAAATTCTGAAACTGGTTTCAACTTTTCATTCCGTCTTCTCATGCGGAATGACAGGAAGACGATTGTGGAGGGAGTATATAAAATGGCGGAAATGGTGGTATTCTATATAATCTAACCTCAAAATCTGACCTGAAATTGCCGTAAAGTGAACTCGCATCAGGAAATATTTTGGAATTATTCTCAAATCTACCCAGAATACTTTCAAAAACTTCTGGACTCATCCTGAAATTACTTCTGAATGTTCAAAAATACATTTGCGGTTTTACTTGATGAACAGCAAAATCCCGAAATTATCCTAAAAAAGAACATCTGAATGTCACAACTTTCAAATATGAATCACATCATTTTATTGGTCGTCACTTCTACTGCCACCAGTAGGAAACCAAAAAAACGCACCTATTGATGCAAGAAATACTGTCTGTAACCTTAGATCATGTAACATATTGATTTGGATTGAGACTGGAGTGAGTAGAGTGATAAAATGCTTGGAGCAAAATTTTAAGAACCAAGCTCTCCTCGAAGCTCTCAAATATATGTGTTCCTAGTTAAAATCATAAATATATACCTTGGGAACAAAGATTCATTTTCTCCCATAAAATTTCACACGCGGGAGGAAATGGATAATAATAATAATAATAATAATAATAATAATAATAATAATAATAATAATTTATTAATCCTTCAGATTACAAAGTAATATTGGACAGGTCAAATAAATCAACGTTGATACATATAACAAAAAAAAATAGATAAAAGAGTATAATACATTTCACACAGAACAGGTAGCGACACAGTTATTTGCATTGAAAAACTCAGAGGTATTGTAAAAACAACCCTGAATGAGAAAATTTTTGAGATCATTCTTGAACTTGTTGAGATTTTCATTCATAGTTATGTACATGGGCAGATGATTGAAAAACTTTATTCCCATATAGAAAGGGCTCTTTTCATATAGGCTTGTGCGGTGTCTAGGTATACGCAAGAGATTTCTATTGCGCGTAAAATGATCATTATTATATGAATTCTTTTGAAACTTGTGTAGGTTTCTTCTCGTATACATTACACAGTGATAAATATAGATCGAGTAAAAAGTGAGCAAGTTATGCTTTCCAAATATAGGTCGACAGCTTTCCCTGTAATCAAGATTGAAAATTAGTCTTATAATTCTTTTTTGAGAAATCAGAATTCTAATAGAGTTAGTTGCATTACCCCATAATATTACATTGTTGCTCATATGCGAATAAACTAATGCATAGTACACATTAAGCAACTGGTATGTAGTGAAAACGTATTTCAGTTGGAGAATAGCATAATACCCACTATTGATCCTTTTGCTCACATGATCTATATGTGTTGTCCAACTCAGATCAGAGTCGACAATCGTTCCTAAAAATTTTGTGGATTTCGATAGTTCAATAGGGGTATCATTTACCATTACTCTGAATGGATAATTGAGTTTGAGTCTTGAGGAGAACTGCATACAAACAGTCTTATTCGCCTTAACGATAAGACGATTTTTTGAGCACCAGTTGGTAAAGTTCCCTGAGACTATGTTGAGTTTACTTTGGAGTTCTTCCGGAGTATCAGTGCTGACCGCTATAGTAGTATCATCCGCATACAGTATGACACAATCAGAATCTAAGTGATATGGTAAATCATTTATGAAGAGCAGAAAGATAAGTGGCCCTAAAATAGATCCTTGAGGAACTCCTAAATCTATGACATGTGAATGAGAATAATTATTATCAATTTTGACAAGAATTTTCCGGTTCTTCAAGAATGATACAATCCATGAAAGAAAAGTTCCTCTGAAACCCAGGATGTATAGTTTGCTTTCCAACAAAGAAAAATCAACCGAATCGAACGCCCTAGAAAGATCGAAGAAAAGTACACCAACATACTTTCTATTTTCTAGTTTCGTGTTCACATATTCGAAAAGGTCATAAGCTGCACTTTCCGTCCATTTTCCAGGACAAAATCCATTTTGATTACGGGATACCTTTGCTCTCTTGATATATAAATAGCTATTATCTTTCAATACTTTGTGAACCAAGCCATTGTCGATCTAAATGAAAACCTAGTAGGCTACCTAGTGCGAGGAGGTATCCTGCCTACTAACTACCTAACTAGGTTGTCATCTAGAGCGACAATGACCAAGCAAGCAATATGCAATTTATGCCTATTGAACATATTGAGCCGTCCCATTCAACACTAGACTGTTTTACCACTAACCAAACCGATTTTTTAACGCCTCGACACGTGTTTCGCTAACTATGTTAGCATCTTCAGGAGAAGATTAAAACTGTTTTAACGTAACGGGCATCAACTCTCGATTTTAAAATGGAGCACCCTGTATTTCATTGAATTTCTAGATTCTCCCTGTAGAGATGCTTTCATCAATCACACTTGGCGATAGCGGGAATGATTACAGAGGTATAGGGTGTTCAAAATCGATATTTTTTAAATTTAGGATTTTTTTGTGTCGAAACTTTTCATTATCTGTCATTCATTCAGTTCATTTCTACGGATGATTCATCACGACTTAGAGCACATAATTCAAATTGATGCCAAATATTCTAAACAGCCAAAATTAAATGTTTGACACCCTAGGGTTTTCGAGCTACAGCCGTAGCTCGAAACCTGGTCATAGGATCGATCTGTAAATTTTACTGTATGATGAGGATAAGGATGATATGTATACCGGAAGCCCAAAAGGTACAGGAGCCATTATTATTTTGAAGATAGTGGTCCATCCTCCAAGTGGAGTTAGTAGTTTATGGTTGACAAACACATAGTCAGTTATTTTCCCATTGGCATTGGCAAAAATGAAAAATGGCATTTAAATTCCATATATTTTTTCCAGAAAGTAATTGCCAATGGACATGTATCTACTGCCGATAGTAAAACCGATAAATCCCCTGCCAAGGAATCTAAAAAATCACCAGCAAAAGTACCCACGGAAGTGAAACAAGAAAAGCGAGAAAAAAAAGTTGAGAAACAACAAGACAAAATCAAACCTGATTCTGCAAAACCGAGTATCGAACTCGTCAAAAATAAAAAGAATTTAAGGAGACCCACTGAAAAACCATTAGATTTCGATGACGGCGATTGGGAAACGGTTCCTACAAAATTCGATAAAAAGAAGAAGGGGGACCAATCCCCTGATAAAAACAAGAAACCCAAAAGAGCTGATAATGTTGAAAAACTAGAAAATCTGAAGCTGGCTAAGGAGGTTGTGAACAGGGAATTGCAAGAGAAGGATAAACAAGTGCAGAACATTGAGGAACAACCTGAGCAACCAACTCCAGAAGAACCAGAACCAGCACCAGCTATAATTGATATCAGAATTGAACATGAAATTGAACCTGAGGAGCCTGTTGTTGTTGTAGAAGAAAAGAAGGAGAAAGAAAAGAAAAAGAAGGAGAAGAAGCCCAAAAAAGAAGCTGTTGAGAAAGCTGTTGCTGTAGAGGAAGCTGAGGCACCTGTGGTTGAGGAAAAACTTGATGATCAACCAGAAGGTACAGCCCCCAAAGCAGTTGCTCCTGCATTTGATGAACTTGGAGGTAGGTTGAAAATGTACAATATTGTACTAGGGTATATCATCTGAAGAAGCTACTGTGTTAGCAAAACATGTCCTGTGATGAAGAATTTTGTAGAAATCTTATTTACTAGTACAAGTATTTCACCTGAAGAGGCTACTGTGTTAGCAAAGCATGTAATGTGATGAAGGATTTTGTGGAAATCTTATCATTTGTGAAGGTTTTTACATTGACTATGGATTTTCATCGAGTAACGGCCGAGTGAATGAAAAACTTGAAAAAGTAGGTTGTAAACATCAAAACTGAAAACTAAATTTGGCTATTGACAAAGTTAAAGTTTCTTTTTCTCTTTCAAATTTTTTGAGATGATTTTCAACTGCTATTCCAAATATCGGCCATTTTCTTATTTGTTCAATGACTGGGCAGCATGTTGTTGACTTATATACTTCCCTAGATTCTATAGTTTGTTGCATCCTGTCATATTTGTCCTCATTTAGTTCAAAGTTTTTCTAAATTTATGGTGTTATGTTCATGTGATTATTCTGCCGAGTATTCTGCTATATTAATGAATACATCGGATTTAACATAATTATCTATTATTCTATGGATTAGCTTTACCTGCTCAAGTTGTGTGATTTGGGTAACCCAACAAAAATAACCGTTATTTCTCACTGATATCTAGAAACGTCAGGTCAGGTATTCTTACTCTGACTTGTATCCAGTAGTGCATTAATTCGAACAACCTAGTTCAAGTGATTTGAATATTCCTTGAAAAACATTTCAATTTTATCTCTTTGAAGGTATGTACAAAAACATCCAGTTGTAAAAAACTTCACATACGATAAGATTTCCACAAAATTCTTGATATCACAACATGTTTTGCTAACACAGTAGCTTCATCATGTAAAATTCATGATAAATAGACCGGAAGTGGACTTCCCTGAGTTTTTTGTGTGTCATTTGTTCATACTCAGCAGTATAAGACCCCACCAAATTACACCTTCCACAACACGTATATGAACTTGCCGAATAAAAATCGTGGACCAAAGGGTGGGGACCGCGTATGTGAAGTTGTATTGAAATACCGGGGGTCTCGAATCATTACTTACTGTTCCGCGTATGTCGCAAGTAAAGCGGCGTTGACAACCAAACTTTTTACGTTCCTATTCTGATTGGTGGAGCAAAATCTGGAATAAAAGTGACGCAAACAGCTGAATATTTTCACCTCTTCGCGTTGCAAGATGCCATCGTCTGTGAAAAAGGTACAAATAGACCGATAATGTTATAAAAATGGCAAATACTACTGTAATGACATTTGCTTCTGTTCAATTCACGTTTAATTTCAGATTCTGCTTCACCAATCAGAATGCGAAACGTAAAAAGTTTGGTTGTGAACGCCGCTTAACTGTAATTGAAAAAAAGTTTGGGCAGACGTCATTGCCGTGAAGTGTAGGGTCGATACGACGCGAAGTGGCGCCGTATATTGTTGTACGCTCGTCTCCAGACCTGGAACATTCAGGTATTATCAACGATAGGCAATATGGCTTCCGTCATCAGAGATCAACTGGTGACCTGCTCGCTTACGTCTCACATATATGGCAGCAATCTATTGAAAAATATGGTGAAACCTTAGCCGTGGCACTTGACATCTCCAAGGCATACGATCGAGTCTGGCACCACGTTCTCCTCGCCAAGCTTCCATCTTATGGCTTGCCTCCCCAGCTATGTTCTCTGCTAGCTAGTTTTCTCTCAAACAGGTCTCTCCATGTAGTGGTCGACGGAGTTTCATCTGACTCTCTTACCATAAATGCTGGTGTTCCGCAAGGATCCATTCTAGCACCAACACTATTTCTACTCCATATCAACGATTTATTGGAAGCAACTTCATGTCCAGTACACAGCTTCGCGGATGATAGTACCCTCCATACCGGCTTGTCTTCCAGGGCTCCAATACCAGCCAGGCAAATCAGAAACGAACGAGGGAGACATTTTGACATACATAAATATGGACTTTGTTGACAACATGAATATGGACTTGGCAACAATTCTCGAATGGGGATACAATAACTTGGTAGATTTCAATGCAAACAAAACACAAGCATGCCTTTTCTCTAGAAAAGCCGATCTCACTGTGCCCAACATAATCTTGTCAGGAGTAACCACCATACCTTTGAAGACATCCATTTCGATGCTTGGTATTAATATCAGCAATAACCTTTCTTGGGAAAATCACGTGAGATCATTTGCCAAAAGTGCATCCCAAAAACTTGGTTTTCTGTTTCGGGCCAGGAGATATTTCACTTCCAGTCAGCTGCTTATGATCTATAAGGCACAGATCCGACCTGTCCTGGAATACTGTTCCCATATTTGTAGCGCAGCACCCAAACATACCCTGAAACTGTTGGATTCTGTCCAAAAAAGGGCAATTCGTCTCGTGGGTGATGCCTCGCTCACAAACTCACTCACTTCTCTGGAACACCGTAGAAAAGTTGGCGATCTGGCTCTATTTTATAAATATTTCCATGGACGATGCTCTTCTGAAATATCAACAATTGTTCCTCCCTTGGCAGTCCCTGCGAGATAGAGCCGTCGAGTTGAGGCTTACCTACTACCTTATTTCCCTTGGTTCTCACGATGTGCTCTGAACATTACAGGATATCCCTTTTCGTGGGAACCAGAACATAAAAAAAATTCAGTTTACCAATGACGTCAGTAGGATGGCGAAAGACCCAAATCATATTTGACTTGTTAATGAAGTGAAATCTGACTAAATTTTTGTCAATTTTACGGGTAAATGGAAATCTCAATATGGGAAATTTCTCCACTACCGGGAGTTCTTACCATGAAAGATTCATCAGTTTATAATTCTCATTATTCGAATCCAAATTTGGAAAGAAATTTTTGGTGGTATGTATCGTGTTTGCTTCAATATTTTTAATTCTGATTTTCAGATATATGGACCGAAGCGAAACCATCGAAGAAAACTGGTAAAAAGAAAGCACGTAGGGATAACTAAAATGATAAATAGGTATTTTTTCCTAAACACTCGCAACAATTCGTTGTTTCAGTATCAGATACACTGATCACTACCTTTGTGGTATCAAGTGAGATCAGATCTCATGACAAAGATAAAGACTATTACAAGCTTAATTTTACAATTGAAATCTGCTCACATTCAATGGGATCAGCAGCACTACATAGTTCTGTGAAGCTGGCAGTACAAACAGATGTTGATTCATCTATAAAAAAGCTTATCACTGGGTTTCATTGTGTTATTATTTCATAAAATCCATGAAATGTCAAAACTCAAACAATGACAGCTCTGTATAAGAGATGAGCATTACCTTAACGCTACCTTCAAACGCTGTTCTATATGTATGTTTTTAATGCCAAAATTAGTCTTACCTATAGCATTTATGTTCCCATTCCCGTTATAAAATGTTCCAAAGATGTTCATTATTCAACTCATTTATTTTTCCCTTTCAACTCCAGAACCAGTGAAAGGATTTTGTTTTATATTTGTGAGTTTCAGACTTCTAAGTTTTATGATTTCTTGAATATTTTTAAGTACTGACGTTGCTTTATCCCCAACCACCCGATTCTCAGTTCATCACAATTCCAAATTAGAATAGCCCTGTATATGTTTTCAATTGAGAATTGAGATAAAAAATAGAGGGTGCAAAATTCAAACTGTCTATAAAATGTTTCCTATTATACAATACAATACATCAAAGATAAGTCAAACTCTCGGTATATTTCTCTATGACTTTATAGAACACGTATATTAGGATATCGAAAATGATAATTTATTGCATTTTGAACATTGCATAGAAGCGTGAGCAGATTGTCAAGATTTGAGCTGTACATTGAAAATTGAGATAAACTGTCTGACTTAAAAAATGTAGTTATCATCTGATTTTGAGGATCATGCTTATTTTATTGTAAATATATAAATATAACTATTATTTATTAGTGAACCTGGTAACGCTGTATATAATATACATACATCAAGTGGTAAATGTCGAATTTGAACTTCTGTGTCGCTACTCATGTAATCATGCATTCCATCATTGAGCAACAATAAACTGTTAGTGTTAGGGGGGAACATAGCGAGGGACGTTAGTAATCTTTGAATTGTGTGCCAAAAGCTGTATAGTATAGATTGCCAGAGAAGTCCTCGGGAAAGAATTTGAGCCAAGCGCACAATATGTAAGATGCGGTCACTAACTCACTGTCGATTCAAAAACTAGAAATAATGGTTAATCAGTTGAAAGTGCAGTCAACTTAGACCATTCAGGAACTCGCTTTGCTCAAATGCACTGCTAATCGCCTGTATCAACAATGCGTGCAAAATAGCCAACATTAAACAAAGAGGGCAATATAATATCTGCATCTCAGAGAGGCCAAGGTCGATATACTGCGCATGTCAACCATTTCACAGTTGAATAAGGCGGGAATTTTTAAATCCTATAGCTGCAATCACTCAACTATTGACTAAAAAAAAAAAGAATATGTGAATTTTGTGAATCAATAATAAGAACAGTGAAGACTGAGTTGATAAATCATATTATTTTCGAAAGATTATTGCGAATTTCATGTCACGGTGTAGGTAATTCATTGAAAACATGTCAAAGAATAATTTGATTCCAATAGAGTAAAATAAACGCGATCAGTCTGAATGAAAACACTATTTATTGAGAGAGAAAATATCTATGAAAAGGTGTGTTCTTTCTAGTTTCTAAAGAACATTTTTCGCGAAACATGCAGAGATAAGTTACATATCTCTGATTGAGCGTACCATACACCATTCTAGCAGTGAAAGTCAACATTTGTGTTAAAAACAGCATGAAACATCCAACGCACTCAATTACATAACGAACATTTTTTGATAGGTGTCATTCAAGTGTACTATGATGATGTTCAAATTTTAAAATTATCATTCCAAGCACATGCGTCGTTAAAACTTCGACCATAATGAAGGATGCGAATACTTTTTTTCTACCACAATTCTTTACTCGTTTTCAAGCCGTAAAGTGTGTTTTTTCTTCCATTTTTATGAACTACCTACTAGTCAATATAGACATAGCCACCTCTGTTATAATTAACCCGGATTCACTGATCTGATGCGAGATTCGAAGGAATGACAATCAAATCTAGTAGGTATTTATCATTATGCTGTTACCACGAGACCTTATAACCCTCGGCTGAAGCTTCAGGATACAATCTAGGTCCCTGGGTGATAATGATGTTCTTTACTACCTTGGTGTATAAGTAACCAATTATTCCTCTTATCAATTTGTACAACTCAGGAGCTTGTAGTAGATTATTGGTAGTCAATCCTTGACCCTTACAACGAGGTTATGTTCCGAATCCGAGGTGCTAGGACATTTTGACTTCTTTTCTCATGATTTCCACTTTTCCCTTGGTGTATAAATAACTATTATCCTTAATAATGTTGGCCTATTTCTGCGTTTACTACTAGTATGACATGAGCAAAACGAGATCCTGGAATCATCTAAGGGAAATGTTTATGACAATATGGTGTTCTTACTCAACGCTGGTTCGGACAAGTTTGGCAAAACAAAAGCGCATCAGTGGCAGTTAGTTATATCATTCATCACTGGATGACTGACATCATTTGCGAAACAGAATTGGTTAGATTTTCTGAGCTCCGAGGCTGAACGTCTTCTGTTCAACTTCGCACTCCCCTTTTTGTCCCAGGACTTCTTTGGTTCCTCGTACTATTCTAATTAATCAAATCGTCTAACCTATCCAATGAAAATGTATGGCCTTATTGTGTGGCATATTTGCAAATAATATTTTTAATAATAGGTATATTTTTGCGATGAGGTTGAGAAAGTAACAATCGTCTTCTGAATGTCTTGATGTCTTCCATTTTCGTCAGTAGAGCATTCCACAAAACTTTCATCGATTAATTCAAAGGCTATAGTTCTAAACATTTGGGAATTCACATTATTCTTACCGTTTTCGGAAATAAAATTGCTGAAAATTATAAAATGTGGAAAGTACGGAAACTGTCAGGTAGCTCAGGCTCTTATTTCCTATTCGTTTGCAATACTCCCATCGAATGGTGAATTCATGCACGACAACTTAGTTCTGACTTGAGGAGGTGATTGGTGAGTTCGGAAGTCGATTCGGAATTGATATCTGAAATCAACTAATCATCATCCCTCATTCTTAAGTTAAGGCTAATACGCTGCGCCTCAATTCACTATTATTCATTCAGCCAATCTTTGAATGCATTCATTCATTCTCTAACCCCGTATAAATTACAGGTATTCGGAAAATTTGTGAATGTGGAAACAATGGCTTTCAGTGAGATAACTGACCTTTCCATACTTTCGACTATTCTAAGTCTGTGTGTTTCTGCTTATTGTGTACTGGTCGTTTTTGTAACTAGTAACATTTTGAGTACCTACAACAGTTAGAGCATAATTTTGTATCGCGGGGTCAATATTGGTAGGATATATGGGATTTTGTAGCATATCCAAAAACGAAATATTTCATTAAATTGATAATTATCATCAATGCAGTGATTCATTACATTTCATCTAAGCAAACACATCGGGATCAAGTTACTATCAATGTCTGTCACTTTGGTAGGATTGTTGTGTAAGTACTTATTTTAATTCATATTTTCATCATTATATTAACGACGCTATATAAATATCTGCAATGTATTTTTGGAGTGGCTTTACCAAGAAATGTAATTATATTTGTAATACATTATTCAAATGTGAATCCTTGAGCTTTTATTTGATATTATTTTAAAAATTAAAACCGGATAATTAGTATCCAATACGAACTTTTAGGTCCAAGTATTTAATTTTACATATATTTATTTACATTTTAAATAACATCAATAAACCATTTTGGTTGAATTTGTTAGTGGTTCAGCCTGTTTTTAGTTCAATATGAACAATACTTGTGTGTACAAATACTGTGCTACTCATTGCTCATTGTTCGTATGTTAATATTTGTGAAAAAATATTTTGTGTATAATTTTGATTGATTTCTTGTTCTTTGCTATACATAATTTTGACACCTATATATTATTATGATAGGTATAAAATGACATGAAATACTAATATGTGATTTTTCAACCTTTTAATCATACCTATAGCTTGTACAAATATTGAATATCAATGAATTGTTTATGATCCTGGAACATTATTGATAATCAAGTCGATAGAAATACGGCAGAAATTGAGATTAACATATTATTAACGTCTAACTAACTAACTTAATCGCTTTTTAAAATTAATTTTCTTGAGTTCTAGTAGCAACTTTCAACTCCCAGATTCTAAAATTATGTTGCAAGATGATATATACCGGGTGAGTGAAATTCGAGTAGATGCATGGGGCTCTCGGAAAGGGTAAGAGCTACAGAGAGGGTTTAATGGAGACAAAGTTGTGCAATTTCATGACTACCAAAATTCCGAATACTGCATTTTCATTTTTTTCTGACTGTTTGAATAGATGTAACTAAACAAATCACACATTCTCATGATACTTTTTCGGTTCTACAAGATGGTGTGTTCAGATTTTCAAACCTACGTTTCGTCTTTGAGCTGCCATCATCAACTCGTTTTTTGATGTACGGCCCTGGATCAATCTGAAATCAACTTATTCGAAAGAGGTGTTTGTGATCCCTATTAAAAATGTATTCTCTGATGTCTCTCTCTAACACATGGGTTCTCATGGGAAATGTCAGTAATATGAATTTGTCGAATGATTGTGATACACCCTATGAGAAGATGTGATTTGTGTAGTCAGAAAACATTATTATAAAATCGCGAATATTCGTTTTTTTTTTTCTAAAATGTATTTCTCAAATTTCGAAACGGTATTTTTGTAGTCATTAAATTTCTCTTAGCTCTTACCGTTTCCGAGATCTCCATATACATCTACTCGGAATTCCACCCACCCGGTATGCACCTCATTTATTCAAGTATTTTATTTCTGGCTGGAAACGGATAAAATGCAAGTCAATTT